TGTGGCTCGACGACTTATAGCTGCACCTATTGAGCGATTCTAGAGACACCGTGCCACCCTGATCTGCCCGCTATGGCTTCTCCCAGTGTTCTCACCTTCGATCATGAGGGCCGTCCGATCCAGTTCGATTTGTGGCTCGACGACTTATAGCTGCACCTATTGAGCGATTCTAGAGACAGCGTTTCGTTGTTTGACCACACGTCTGGAGTATCTCTCGCCCCTCCCGCCACAGCTGACAGTGCGACTCGCTCACAGTGGCTTACCCGTGACTTTGCTGCTCGCTTAGCCGTTCGCAACCACCTGCCGTTAGCCGAACGCGCTCACTTTGGCCAGCACAAGACTGCTAAAGCCATGTACGACGCTGCAGTCGCTCGTTACTCTTCCCCTGCCACTGCTGCTCTCGGCCGCCATATACTGCCCTACCTTTTTCCCGAGCTGCCAGCCTTTGCCGCAGTCGAGGACCTCATTACCCACCTTCGCACTAGCGACACTCGCTACCGCGCTGCCCTCCCAGCCGAGTTCCTCGACAGGAACCCGCCCCCGATGTGCATCACTCTCTACTTCATAGTCACCCGCCTCCCTGACTCTCTTTGCGCAGTTAGGGAACAATTTCTCGTAGTTGACCCCACAGACCTCACTGTCGACCTGCTCGAGAAGCACCTCCTTGCAGCTGAGACTAGCGTAGTCGCTGTACGTGCTGCTCATGGCACTCCTTGCACACCCTTCTTTGAGGGGTGTTCCCCCTCCCCCCTTGCCCCCTCCTACGCTTCTGCGGCTGTTGTTGACCTCCTTGGTACTGAGGATGTCGGGGCTGCTTTTGCTCTTAGTGGGAAGCGCCGCAGCAGCAAGGGCAAGGGTGGCAAGAGTGGTGGCGGTGGCAGCGGGGGTGGTGGTGGTGGAGGCAGTGGAGGCGGTGGAGGTGGCGGAGGTGGTGGCAGCGGTGGGAGTGGTGGCGGGAGTGAGGGCTTCAGTGGCGGTGGCGATGGCAGCGGTGGGGGTGGGGGTGGCGGTGGTGGCGGCAGTGGGAGTGGTGGCGGCGACAGTGGTGGCGGTTGGGGTGGAGCTTTTCAGAGGGGAGGTTCTGGCGGTGGCCAGAGGCAACAGCAGCAGCGTCCGAGCGAGACCCCTATGCCCCATCAGCTTCGTGAGTGGTTTGCTCAGCGTGGGGCGTCTGGAGGTATTGTTCGCTGCCCGTATGTCATTTGCACAGGTGACCACGCTGGTCAGACATGCGGGAAGTTTCACACTCAGCACCGCTGCCCACCTTAACGACGCTTGGCGCGCAGAGTTTGGCGACGAGGCTGAGTGCCCCCGCTGGCTAGAGCAGCTTAGGTCTGGAGTTGATATCTTTGCTCTTGACTATGATGCTATCCTTGCTGCCATGTATGCCTTGTCTGTTAGTGCTGAGGGTGACTGTTACCTGTATGTGCCGCCCGACCCAGGTATAGAGGCTGCTGCTCTAGGTGCTAGTGAGTCTGCTCTCCCTGGTACTGCGCCTGCTGAGGCCTTGCACACCTTCACACTTGACTCAGGTGCTTCACGCTGTTTCTTTTGCGACAGTACCACCCTCACTCCACTCCCTGCACCTGTTCCAGTCAGACAGGCTGACCCCTCAGGCGGCCCAGTTCTTGCACGCTCCTCCACTGTTCTCCCGTGTCCGGCGGTTCCGTCCAGCTCACTGTCAGGTCTTCACCTCCCCTCGTTCTATACGAACTTGGTGAGTACCGCTGCCCTCCAGGATGCGATGGTCACTACCACCACTCCTGGGGGTCAGCGTGTGTCGATCTGCACGTGTACACGGACGGGCCGTCACCTGGCCACGTTCGCCCGTCGGCCTGGGTCGAGTCTGTACACACTGACTACTGACCCTCCTCAGGTAGCTGCATCTGCTCAGGTGTCCGCGTCAGGTCCGGTAGCAGCCCCCTGCTCGTGTCCCCTCCTGTCGCACCAGACTCTCCTGTGGCACCACCGCCTTGGTCACCCCTCCCTGCCACGCCTTCGTGGCATGCACTCCCGCCTCCTTGTTTCTGGTCTTCACAGGTCTCTGCCTTCTTTGCGTCGAGGGGCTGCAGCGTGCCGCTCCTCACTCCTCCTCGTTTCCCTCGACGACTGCTCCCCTGCAAAATCTCCACATGGACGTGTGGGGCCTAGCCCGCGTCAGTGGACAGGACCGTGAGCACTACTTCCTGCTGGTTGTTGACGACTACATGCGTTACACCACGGTCTTCCCCTTGCGAAGCAAGGGTGAGGTCCCTGATGTCTGGATCCCTTGGTTCTGCGCAGTCCGTCTCCAGCTCCGCGAGTGGTTCCACCAGGACCTTCCTGTCCTGCGTCTGCACTCTGACAGAGGTGGTGAGTTCTCCTCAGACCTCTTGCGGGACTTTTGTCGTGGGGAGGGCATTCTCCATTCGTTCACGCTTCCGGCCTCCCTGCAGCAAAATGGGATTGATGAGCACCGCATTGGCCTAGTCATGGAGGTGGCTCGTACCTCCATGATCCATGCGGCTGCTCCCCATTTTCTGTGGCCGTTTGCGGTCCGGTACGCTGCGCATCAGCTCAACCTCTGGCCCCGTGTCTCCTTGCCGGAGACCTCGCCTACACTGCGATGGACGGGGCAGGTTGGCGATGCATCGGTGTTTTGCGTCTGGGGCTCTCATGCCTTTGTCCGCGATACTTCTGCGAACAAGCTCTCCTCCCGCGCTATTGCCTGCGTCTTCCTTGGCTTTCCCCCTGACGCGCCTGTCTGGCAGTTTTACCACCCCACCTCGCGCCGTGTCTTGCCCTCTCAGGATGTCACGTTTGACGAGTCGGTTCCCTTTTACCGTCTCTTCCTCTACCGCACTGCCCCTCTCCCCCTCCCCGCCACTCTTTCTCGCTCCAGGTCCCCCTCCGGTAGACCCCCCTCCCCTCTCAGGGTCCTGCTCCCTCAGGTGTGTCTCAGGTAGACCCATTCCCCCAAGCTGAGCCTGTCGAGGTCGCTGTAGACTGAGGTGCTGCTAGAGGTGCTGCGTCTGGGGGTGCTGCGTCTCGGAGTGCTGAGCGTGCGAGTGCGGAGCCTGGGGGTGCTGAGCCTGAGGGTGCGGAGCCTGGGGGTGCTAAGTCTAAGGGTGCGGAGTCTGGGGGTGCTGAGCCTGAGGGTGCGGAGCCTGGGGGTACTGAGCCTGAGGGTGCGGAGCCTGGGGATGCGGAGTCTGGGGGTGCTGAGCCTAGGGGTACTGTGTCTGCCGGAGGTCCTGCGGGTGCCTCGCCACGACTGTCTCACTGGCGGGAGCCTCTCTCACCGCAGCAGTTGCACGAGTGGTTTGCTCAGCGCACACGTGTTAGGAGTGGCGTTGCAGGAGCTGGAGGCTCTGTCGCTGGAGGCACTAGAGCTGGAGGTGCTAGAGCTACCAGTCCTGGAGGTGCTGGTGTTACTGCTGGAGCTAGAGGTACCGGAGGTGCTGGAGCTGCTGGTCCTGGAGGTGCTCGTACTAGTGGTACTGGAGCTGCCGGAGCTGGTGGTGTTGGAGGAAATAGAGTTTGAGACCCTGGAGCTGGAGGCACTGCCGCTGGAGGCGCTGGAGCTGGAGGAGCTGGAGCTGGAGGCAATGGAGCTGGTGGTGCAGGAGCTGGAGGCGCTGGCGCTGGAGGCGCTGGAGCTGGAGGCACTGGAGCTAGAGACCCTGGAGCTGGAGGTGCTGGCGCTGGGGGTGCTGGAGCTGGCGATCCTGGTGCTGGAGGCACTATGTAGCGGCGCCCGTTTTTCGTTCCACCGCTGCCATCGTCTCTGCCGCCACTTGACTCGGTCCTTCGCCAGGTTCTTGGTCTCCCGTCTTCAACTGGCCTTACTCCTAGCTTGCTATGTCCACCGCCTCACCAGACGCATCCACAGTTACAGCCAGACTCCCCACTACCTGATCCTTCTCCTTACGCTGAGCAGACATTCTCTCCTACAGAGCGTCGTGAGCCTGAGTCTCGTCCTGCCCCACCTGTTCGCGCTGTTCGCACTGGTCGTCGTGTTCCTTGTCTGCGTCCTCCTCTCATCCTCGGCACTCACATTATGGCCCTTCGTCCTTCCTCTGTTCCACTGCGAGTTCCCTTGCCGTCTCCTCCTGCGTCCTCTCTTGCTGATGGTCCGGACCCAGAGTCTGACTTAGCTCGTGCTGCCAGTCCTACTGTCCCACGTCTTCTAGCCACTGTTGTCACTGACCCTTCGTTTGAGTCCACTGATGCGTTTGCCCTAGTTGCTGAGCTTGTTGACTTTGCTGCTGCCTGTCGTCTCGACTACGCCGCTAGTCTTGTTGTTTAGTCTGAGTCTGACTGTCCCCCGTCCGTTGGGGGTGAGTGTGCTCTTGGCACGGACGTCCTTGAGGACAAGCACGAGGACTTTGAGTATCTTGCAGCTGCTTTTCCTCATCTCGTCGCCGTGCTGCTTGCACCTGAGGGAGACCGGATGCACCAAACATCCCGACTCCGCGCTCTTACGCTGAGGCGATTACGGGTCCCTACTCCTCTCAGTGGCAGACAGCCATGGACGCAGAGATGGCATCCTGGAAGTCCACAGGCACCTATGTCAACGTAATTCCCCCTTCTGAGACGAACATAGTCGATGGCATGTGAGTTTTCAGGGTGAAGCGGCCGTTGGGTTCTCCGCCTGTCTTCAAGGCTTGTTACGTTGCACGAGGCTTCAGTCAGCGACAGGGAGTTGACTTCTTCCAGACCTTCTCCCCTACCCTGAAGATGACCACTCTTCGGGTTCTGCTGCACGTCGCCGCTCAGTGTGACTACGAGCTTCACTCTCTTGAATTCAACACAGCTTTCTTGCAGGGCAGCCTGCACGAGGAGATCTGGCTGTGCCGCCCACCTGGCTTCACTGGGTCGTTTCCTGCAGGTACCCAGTGGAGCCTCAGGCGGCCAGTCTATGGTCTCCGCCAGGCCCTTCATGAGTGGCACGACACACTGAGGACGACGCCGTGTCATATTTTTTATTAGCATCAACACATTACACTGCATGTACAGTACTAACGCACATACACTTCCGACTCAGCTGCACTATTCCACTCTCTCCCTGAGCTCTCGAGTGTACTGCTCGGCATAATCTCCTCAAAGCTCTCAGTGTCTCTCCTACTCGCACCGCCACCCCCTGCAAAGTACTGCACCCACCTCCTCATACTCTCACTCTGCATAACCCTAAGGCTGCCTCCCAAACGCCCACTACCGCTCCTGCCACTCCCACTCCCACTCCTCCCCACCTCCCCTCCCTGCGCGTCCCCCTTCCCCCCCAGCGCCTTCGCCCCAGCCGTAATTCCTCTCGATACATGCGCTGCCAGTGCAGCAGCCCCCCCTATCACCCCTGCTCCTCCTGCTCCGCCTGCTGCTCCCCCCACCCCTCCTTGTCTTCCTCCCTGCACACCCAGCCCACCACCAGCACCAGCAGCTGCACCAGCAGCAGCGGCGAGTGCAGCAGCGCCGGCAGCAGCGGCAGAAGCAGCGGCATGAAAGCCCCTCCGAGCGTCCAGCATGACGCGCGCCACTTCAGCCATGTCCGGGCGGCGCGTGGACGGCAGCTGCACGCAGAGGGCAGCGGTGCGCGCCATCTGCAGCAGAAAGGGCAGGTTGATCGGCGAGGCGATGCGCGCGTCCGCTATTACCCGCACCTCCCCACGCTCGATGTATGGCACCGCCTGGGGGAGAGGGGAGAGTGGGGGCATTGGGGCAAGGGAGTGTGAGGATGGCACAACAGGTGAGGTAACATAGAGGAGAGACGAGGCGATGCGTGCGTCCGCTATCACCCGCACCTCCCCGCGCTCTATGTATGGCACCGCCTGGTGGGGGGGGAGAAGGGGGGAGAGGAGGGTGGCACAAATAGGTGAGAGGCTAGGAGAGGAGATGCGTGCGTCCGCTATCACCCGCACCTCCCTGCGCTCTATGTACGGCACCGCCTGGTGGGGAGGGGGGAGAGTAGGAGGATGGCACAACAGGTGAGGTGACAGAGAGGCGAGGCGAGTCGAGGTGATGCACATGTCCGCTATCACTCGCACCTCCCCGCGCTCAATGTGTGGCACCGCCTGGTTGTGGGGGGGGAGGGGAGGGGGTAGGTGTTAGGGAGGGTGGCACAATAGGTGACATATAGGTGAGGCGAGGCGACACTCGGTTAATGTACAGCACCACCTGTCGGAAGGGAAAGAGAGAGGGGGGGAAGGGGGTGATGGAAGAGGAGGGGGTTGGAAAAGAGGAGCGAAAGGAAGGAAAACAATTTTCTCTCAGGAGCTCGAGAATAGAATTTAAGAAATTCAAAACACAAATTATTCAACAATCTCTCTCTCCCCTCCCCAATACGAACAAGTGCACTAAGCTTATATTTTGTGGTAAATGTAAGTGCGTTACTTAATCTCATGTTTGGTACAAAGTGTAGGTGCAGAATTTAATCGTATGTTTGGTACGAAGTATAAGATGGGAGAGGGAGGAGGGAGAAGCAGAGAGAGGCAGGGATGTCTTTGTATGGTTAGAATTTATTGAGGCGAGATGACACATGGTGAAAGTATGGTGGAGAGAGGGGAGGAGCTGTGATGGAAGATGAGAGGGGTGCCACTGTGACTCGTGACAAGCCAAGCACGGCGACCTCACTTAATAGGCGCACAAGCATAGCATTCAGTGCAGGATGGAAGGCTATTCGGTGCCCTGAAGCATTTGGGAGCTCAGCTAACCCAGGTGGTGAGGTGGACATGGCAGCTCAACCAGGTGCGGAAGTGGACATGAGAGCTCAACTAGGTGCTGACGTGGACATGACATCTCAACCAGGTGCTGACGTGGACATGAAAGCTCACCCAAGTGGTGATGTGGATGAGACAAGACTCATCCTCCGGGTCCCTGGCCGTGGCCGGCCGCCCTGTCACCATCTCGAGCAACAGCACACCGTAGCTGGTGGGTGGTTCACAAGCAGTGCATGGGGATGCGAAACAGAGAACACGAGGTGGTGAATACACAGTTTGAGGCGCTGAGAGACACGAAATGAGGGGAGGAACAATCGGGTAGAGTTGAGACATGAGCATGAGAGGAAGAAGACAAAGTGTGGTAAGAGGGTATCTTTGGACCCCGAGTACATGGCGTGTGAGAAGGTGTTCACCTCGAGCTGACTTCTGAGTCGACTCAAAAGTGAGAAGGTGTTCACCTCGAGCGATGTGTACAGATGGGTGTGACTGAATCTTGGTGTGTGTGTGAGTGGGTGTGTGTGTGCTGGTGTGTGTGAGTGGGTGTGTGTGTGCTGGTGTGTGTGAGTGGGTGTGTGTGTGAGTGGGTGTGTGTGTGCTGGTGTGTGTGAGTGGGTGTGTGTGCAGTTGTAAAAAGGTGTGTGTGAGAGTGCTATGTGTGCAGGTATGTGTGATTGTGGTGTGTGCAGGTATGTGTGATTGTGGTGTGAGCAGGTGCATGCGAGTGTGGTGTGGATGAGTGTATTTGAGTGCAATGTGTGTAGTGCGAGTGCTAATTCCTTTTGACGATGATGATCAGGGGACATAACACACACCCACCTGTACACATCGCTCGCCGTCGACACCTTTTCACACGTCATGTACTCGGGGTCCAGATACCCCCTCATGCCTGCGCACACCTGTACACACCCCACTCACACCAGTAGACTCGCACCCACCTGTACACATCACTCGCCGTAGACACCTTCTCACACGTCATGTATTCCGGGTCCAGATACCCCCTCGTGCCCGCCACACGCGTGTACGCGCCCTCCCTGGCCGCCCCATCATCCAGCAGCCGCAGCAGCCCGAAGTCAGCTATCTTCACCTGCAAGATGATGGGGATCATTCATGCGACAAAAGGTGGATGTGTGCATGAGTGTGAGGGATGCATCCTATGAGGGTGTGTCTGTGTGTCTGTGTGCACGCTATTCTTCTGCATCTTTTTTAGTGTGGGGTTAGGAGAGAGTATGTGTGCACGGATATATTTGTTGACGAGAAGAGGCCCCGCCCTTGCTTGGGCGAAGCCGACTTCGTGATCGGCCTTGCTTCGTGGTCGACGCCGACTTGTAGGAGCAAGTTGGCTTGGTTGGTCGACCTCAGCGGAGCCGACTTCGGCAGTTGACCGACTCGGTGAAGCCAAACTTTTCGAAGCCGACATCAGTGAATAGCTAAGCCAACTTCATTGTCCGGCGTGCAAGGTGTGCAGCCGGCTGCGCTTCGTGGTCGGTGCCGACTTGGAGAGGCAAGTCGGCTTGGTTGGCCGACCTCAGCGGTAAGCTGACTTTGTCGAAGCCGACTTCGGCGAGGCTGACTTTAGTAAAGCCGGCTTGACGCTGACTGACGAAGGTGGTCGTCGACATGAGGTCGACCGATGAGCACCAAAGCCGGCGTCGACGTAGCGGCCTCTTCTTGTCGACCAAGAAACATGGTCTACGGAGTTTGGCGGAGTGCGCGCACGTCGTCCATGTGGTTTTGGCGAAGTCAACTTGTGTGTCGGTAACACAAAGTCGACGTGGCACATCTGGGAGCAACCATCGACATGTGATCGACCTGGGCAACTGCGCAATGTGCCTGACAGACAACCGTCTACCTGCACCTACTTGGTAGGCACGCACATGTGCACGCAAGGACACCTGCGGTTGCAACGCTGGCAAGCCACCTTACTGCAGCGTTGGCAAGCCGCCCTGGTGCAGCGCTGGCAGGTCGCCGACTTGTAGTGTTGGCAAGCCGCCTTCATGCTGTGCTGAAAGTCGACCTGCCTGCTTGCTAGGTTGCGTTGCATCTGAGGTAGTCACATTTGCCGGACCATTGTGTGCTATTATTCTTTATTTGCTAGTGAAACTCTTGCCAGCTTTCTCTGTGAATGCGCAAGTAGAGAGAACACGAGCAAACGCTACGATCACTCGTACCACCCATGCTTTCCCCAGAATCTACAGCTCCTGGTGTAGAGTGACTCTCCGCAGTATTCGCATGGATGCATGCGAATGCGCGTGTGTGTATGCATGTGTATGCGTGTGTGTTCATAGATGTGTATGTACACATATTTGTGTATGAGTGTGAATGGGAACACGAGCCATAGCATGCTCTTTCATGCAACCGCATGGTTACTACTTGCCTTGTTGCACATGCTTGTGTGCACGCCCTATAGGGAATGGCATGATTGAGGATTTATACCTGATGTTTGTGGGGGTGCTTGAATGACGAGTCAGAATGCTGTGTGTTAAGAATCGAGAACGTGGTTTTGCTAGTGTGGTATCAAATGTTTGTATGGTCATCACTTACAATGCTTTGTTCTTGTTTTCTCACTCGCGAACACTCGCAAGTAATTCTATTTCCCGTTATTCGCTTTCTAAAACGAGTAAACCGCGAATACTTGATTTCTCGTGAGTAGTACTCGACTTCACAAAAGCGGGTAATGTTTCCGAACTAGCCGACTCGTTACTCGCCGAAAACGAGCAACGAAAACGATGCGAGTAATATACTCGCCTCGTTGCTCATGCTGACTGTGCCATTTTTAGAGGAATTTAAATTTACCCAATCTTACATACGGTGGCTACATTACAAATGAGGCATAACAAGGGACCCTGATAGTCCAGTGTGAGCAGCAAGTTGCAGGGCTTGATGTCGCGATGCACGAGTTGACATTTGAGTCGACTCAAAAGTCAACTCTAGCAGCAAGTAATCGCATACTGTAACATGCTACCATGTGATACCCTTCCATTGACTTCCACTTACCTGGTAGTCCTCTGTAAGCAGCACGTTGCAGGGCTTGATGTCACGGTGCACGATGGGCTTCTCAGCGTGGCAGTGCAGGTATCTGAGCCCCTCTGCCAACCCCAACGCCGCGTCCAGCCGCTCCTCAAAAGTCAGCAAGTGCCCTTGGAACTTGGCATACAGGTGGTCGCTAAGGGGCCCGTTGCGCACATACTCGTACACCAACACCTGGAGAGGGAGAGGGGGGGAAAGGGGCGTGGGGGGGGGGGGGGGAGGTGGGGGGGTGAATGCGTGCAGCAGGTGCCCGTGTAACTTGGCGTATAGATGGTCGCTGAGTGGGCCGTTGCGCACATACTCGTAGACCAACACCTGGAGAGAGAGAGAAGGGAAGGAGGGGGGAATGACTTCTTAGTTGGCTAAGGAAAACAGTTGCGCACATATACCAACACCTGGAGAGGGGGAAGGGAGGGGGGGAGGTGGTTGGGTTTGGGTATACCAGGGACAAATCAGGGATTCAACAGTTGCACACGTACTTGTGCACCAGCATCTGGGAAGGAGGTTTCATGTGTGATTAAATGGGGGAATCTATAGAAAACCAACTTATATATCAACACCTGCTGGGGGGTTATAACGTTCGAGACATCTCGGGTGGTGAATGCTACAACGTGCACTTGCAAGCGGATTGACACTACGGGCTTTTGAGTCGACAAAAAAATTGACACTATGGGCTTTAAAGTCGACTAAAAAATTGACACTATGGGCTTTTGAGTCGACTAAAAAATTGACACTATGGGCTTTTGAGTCGACTAAATAATTGACACTAAGGGCTTTTGAGTCGACTAAAAAATTGACACTATGGGCTTTTGAGTCGACTAAAAAATCGACACTATGGGCTTTTGAGTCGACTAAAAAATTGACACTATGGGCTTTTGAGTAGACTAAGAAATGAAGGCACTAGCTGTTGGGGGATGAGGGCAACAGTTGCAAGCAGATGAGGATGACATAAGTAGGCACACGAAGGCCCACCTGCTCGTTGTTCTCGTTGCAGTAGCCGAGGAGGCGCACGAGGTACTTGTGGCTCAACTTGGACACCGCCTTCACCTGCCAGGCGTGGCGGCATGGTGAGAGGGGGAGGGGGCCAGGTGACATAGTGGCATGGTGGCATGGTGAGGGGGGGAGGGGGCCAGGTGACATAGTGGCATGGTGGCATCACTATTATGGTGGCTCAACTTGGACATTGCCTTCACCTGCCAGACCAACATGGTGGCATGGTGGCATGGTGGCATGGTAGCATGGTGGCATGGTGGCATGGTGGCATGGTGGCATGGCGGCATGGTGGCATGGTGGCATGGCGGCATGGTGGCATGGTGGCATGGTGGCATGATGGCATGGTGGCATGGCGGCATGGCGGCATGGTGGCATGGTGGCATGGTGGCATGGTGGCATGGGGGCATCACGGCATCACGGCATGGTGGCATGGTGGTATGGTGGCATGGTGGCATGGTGGCATGGTGGCATGGTGGCAAGGTGGCATGGCGGCATGGCGGCATGGTGGCATGGTGGCATGGTGGCATGGTGGCATGGTGGCATGGTGGCATGGTGGCATGGTGGCAAGGTGGCATGGCGGCATGGTGGCATGGTGGCATGGTGGCATGGCGACATGTTGGCATGGTGGCATGGGGCCATGATGGTATGGTGTTGCAGGGCAATTAGGTACAAAGGCCAAGTGGTTGTGACATGAATACTCAACTAAGGTTGAGTACCCAACTCATGTGGAGTCCAACGATGCCTATGTGAGATTATCGTCCTCTTTGTATCATGCATTGCATATATAGTTTTGAGACCCCCAAATTTTTGTATCATGCATTGCATATAAGTTTGCTTGGGTAGAGTTAAGCATCCAAAACTTAGTGGCATTGCATGGTGGCATGGTGGCATGCATGGTGGCATGATGGCATGGTGGCATGGTGGTAGCCGGGAGAGTACGTGAGGGGTGGAATGGTGGTGAGACACCACACCACACCTTACCTCACCACACCACACCACACCACACCACACCACACCACACCACACCACACCACACCACACCACACCACACCACACCACACCACACGACACGGCACGACACGACACCACACCACACCACACCACACGGCACCACACTGCACCACACTGCACCACGCCACGCCACGCCACGCCACGCCGCGCCGCGCCGCGCCACGCCACGCCACGCCACGCCACGCCACGCCATGCCACGCCACGCCACGCCACACCACACCACACTGCACCACACCACATTGCACCATACCAGACCATACTGCACCACACCACATTGCACCACACCACACCACACCACACCACACCACACCACACCACACCACACCACACCACACCACACCACACCACACCACACCACACCACACCACACTGCACGACACGACACGACACGACACGACACGACACGACACGACACCACACCACACCACACCACACCACACCACACCACACCACACCACACAACACTGCGGAGATAACTCTATCAACGGGAGCTAGACTACGGGCTAGGCACGGGGTAGGAGGGATCTCTGCGTTCGTTCACTTAGTCGTTCTCTAGCACTTGTGCATTCATGGGGCAAAACCGCAAGAATTTCACTATTAAAAGTTGAGAACAGAATGGGTAGCAACTAGATTGGCAAGGTAGACTATATCAGAAGCCTAGCATACAAGTCGACCACCAGCTCAACACGAAGGCGACTTGCCAGCTGGTCGACCTTTGGCGTCCTCGGGGGTCCTCAGTCGACCTGCAAGGCTGGCGTGCCAGCACACCAACAACATGCCACCACAGGTCACCACACGTGCTCATGTGCGCGCACCTACTTCGCAAGTGCAAAGTGACGGTGACGACATGCACCGCCACACACATTGCGCACGTGCCAAGTCGACCATATGTCGACGGTTGCACCTGAGGAGTCCTGTTGACCACGTGCCACCGAACCGCAGGTCGACTTTGCCGATCTACGTGGGCGACGATCCTCGTCGTCCAGGTAACCTGGTCGACCAGACAACCATGTCGACCACGTATGTCATCTCAGGCCCGTCGACCGCCCAGGTCGACGACCACCTCATGTCGACCACACCAGGTCGACCACTCCCCTGGTCGACCAACTCCAGGTCGACAACCCACCTGGTCGACCAACTCCAGGTCGACCAGTATACCTGTCAACCGACCACACCCAGTCGGCTTCCCCTGGTCGGCGTCACCCAAGTCGACGTCCTCCATTGGTCGACCTCCCAAGTCGACCAGCCGAAGTTGGCGCCCTCCCAAAGTCGGCGCCCTTGCAGTGGCCCTTGCGTAGGTCGACCAGGCCCATCGACCAGCTCGCCCACTGTTGCAGGTCGGCTGCACTCCTCACACCCGACCCCGAGGTCAGCTCCACCCAAACGAGGACGGGGCCAACAACAACTCCCGTTGACACTCCCCTGCCGCGTTCACGCTTGGGCCCCCAACCCAGACGACAGCACTACTTGGAGAATAGCTCGCCGGTGTGCACCCAACACACAGCACGCCGGTCACCACACCAGCCATGCAAGAGGGCATGGCACCTACTGCTGCACGTCGTTGTCACCGTCGCCCACGTCGACTAGGCGCACCTGGCCGATTGCAACGGAGCACCGGTTGAAGGCCGGGTAGTGCAGCGCCTTCGTCAGGAAGTCGGCTGGCTGCTCAGCGGTCGGGATGTACCTCAGCGAAAACTTCCCGCGCTTCACCATGTGCTGAAGCCAGGCTTATCGCCACTCCATGTGCTTGAGGTTGCCCGTCAACCCCATGCCCTCGGCGACTGTGATGGCCGACTTGTTGTCCACCCGAAGCACAGTCGGCGTCCCGGCGTCCAGCTGCCGGAATTCTGCAAGGAGGAAGCGAAGGCGACGTCCCTCCTTGCCAGATTCGGTTGCCGCCACGTACTCCGACTCGGTCGACGACAGCATCGCGCACTTGATGAGCTGGCTCGACCAAGAGACGGCGGCCCCTCCAAAGACAAACACGTAGCCGCCCGTGCTTGTCCGGTTCTGCTTGTCGCCGGCGTCGTCGACGTCCACGTAGCCGACCAGCTTCAGCGACTCTGCTCCACCGCCGAACTCCAGGGCTGTGTCATGAGTGTTGGCGAGGTAGGCGAGGCAGCGGTCGACCCCGCGCCAGTGCTGGTCGCTCCTCACAGTGAGGCCGCTCCCTAGCATGCTGCAGGCAAAGGCGATGTCCGGCCTCGTCGTCGTCGCCGTGAACTGCAGCGAGCCGACCTTCTGCCAGTACTCCTCCTGGCGCTCCTGTGCCTCCTCGTCATCGAAGGTGAGTGTGGCATAGGCGTCGACCGAGACCGGCGTCTTCGGGGTGCGCCCGTTCTGCTCCTCGTCGAGGAACCGCCTACGCAGCTTGTCGGCGTAGCCCTGCTGGTGCAGCCACAGCTTCCTCACCGACCTGTCGCGCACAATCTCCAGCCCGAGGTACTTCTGCACCGGCGAGATCTCCCGCAGCTCGAAGGCAGCCTCCAGCAGCTCCTTCAGCTTCTTCAGCATCGCTGCACTGCTGCTGGCGGCGAGCAGGTCGTCGACGTAGACCAGCACCCAGCAGGTCACCTTGTCGTCGCAGACTTTGAAGTAGAGCGCCGTGTGGACCTGGCTCTTCTTCCAGCCAGTGCCCAGCAGCACACCATCGAGAGCCCTGTACCACAACAACGGCGACTGCTTCAGGCCCTAGAGGCTGTTCAGCAGCTTGCACACCCGGCCGGTCCCGTCGTTGAAGTAGTCCGGCTGGTACATGTACAGCACCCGGTCGAGCTTGCTCTGCAGGAAAGCGTTCTTCATGTCGAGCTGCATCAGGTTGAGGTCGAGGACGGCGACGATGCTGAGGAAGATCCTCAGTGTGACGTAGCTGCTCACCGGCGCATACCTCTCGTCGTACTCGGCACCATACACCTGTGTGAAGCCCTTCACGACCAGCCTTGCATTCTCTCGCTCGACGGTGTCGTCGATGTGGTACTTCGTCGTCAACACCCACCGGTTATTCATGATGTTCACCCCGGGTGGGCGTTCGACCAGCTCCCAGGTTCCCATGCCGATGAGACTGCGGATCTCCTCCTCCATGGCGGCCTTCACCGCCTTGCCCTTCCAGCTCGCCAGTGCCTCCTTCACCGTCATTGTCGAGATGTCCGAACGGTGCTCGGGGTCGGCGTGCATGTCGGGGTCGAGCTCCGGCAAGTCTTTGTCCTCCTCGGCGTCGTCGTACTGCAGGTCGTCATCGACCTCGTCGTATGCCGTGGTGAAGGCAGCCGGTACGTAGAAGTCGGGCGGCCTCCGAATTCGGCCTGACTGCCTTGGTCCACGCTGGACCTCTACCACGTCACTGTCGGTGGACTCCTCGGCGTCCCCTCCATCGTCACCAGCTTCACTGCCCTCATCGTCCTGCTGTACCTCAGCCGACTTCCCTGTCGACTTCTCTCCTGTGGTCGGCTCCTCTGCCGACTGCCTGGTTGCGGACTGCTTCGTGGTCGGCTTCACCGCTGCCTGCCTTCCTGTCGGCTGCTGCCCTGCTCGTGCCTTCTTCGCCGGCTTCTCCAAAGTCGGTTGCACCTCCTCGGCCTGCTCCTTCCCTATCAACGTCGACTTCAATCCCACGTCGACTTGCTGCTCGTCACGCCGGCCATCGGCGATGCTCTTAGCCGGCGCCGAAGGCGACGTCCCACTTCTCCCCTCATCACCGGAGGCCGACACCGAAGTCAGCCCACGCAGGTCGGCCACAAGGGGAGGGGCACAGGGGGCAGGAGAGGGGTAGGGAAAGGGGACATCCTCGACGTCCTCAGTAGCAGGCTCACCGACCTCGGCGAGCAGAGGGAGTGTCGCCGTCGAGGTGTCCGTCGGCGGCGTGGTCGGCGTCCGGCCCGACGCTGGCCAGAGCTCCAACTTCCACACCTCTAGCGACGTGTTCTCGTAGAACACTACGTCCGACGTGGTGACTACCCGGTTGTCGGCGATGTCGAGGAGCTCCCAGCCCTTGCTCTCCTCCGACACGCCGAGGTGAAGGCCCCACCTGGCCTTCGGCTTCAGCTTTCCACTGCGCTACTCCTCGGGGACGAGGAACTGCACCACTCAGCCCCACACGCGGGCCAGCGTCAAGTCGGGCTTCTTGCCAGTTAGTAGCTGGTGCGGCATTGTCCCCGACGGCAGCGTCGACCTCTCCAAGCAGTTTCTCACCCAGACGGCCTAGCGGAGAGCGAGGTGCCACCAGTGGTGCTGCACGCCCATGTGAAGCAGCATCGTTTGCACCGACTCCACCACCGTCCTCATCTCGCGCTCCGCCATGCCGTTCTGTTGCGGGTTGTAGGGGCAGGTCAGATCGTGGACGATCCCCTTGCCATTCACGAAGTCGGTGAACTGCTTCCTGAGGAACTCCCCTCCCCGGTCAGAGCGCAACATCAACACCGACTTCTTCGTCTGCCGCTCAGTCACCGCCAGCCACTGCACGAAATCCTGCAGCGCATCCGACTTCTTGGCGACCGGTCTCACCCACATGTAGCGGGTCTTGCGGTCCTTCAGCAGCAAGAAGTACAGGCTGCCATCCTTGGCAGCCACCCGGAATGGACCACACAGGTCGACGTGCACGACGGCCAGCACGTCGTCGGCATCGGAGCCCTGGTCGGGGAAGGTGTGCCGCGCTAGCTTCCCGCGGACGCACGAGACACACGGCAAGTCGGCGCCCGACACAGACTTGAGATCCAGCCCAGTGGCGACCTCGTGCTTTGCCGAGCTCCGGATGGTGTTCATGCCGACGTGTGCAAGCCTCGCATGCAACCTGTCCGGCGTCAACTTCGTCACCGAGACGATTGCCCACAGGGCCACGACCTCCGTCGTGGGCGTTGTCGACTTCGCCGAGCAGGGACGCAGGTCGGTGCAGAGGACTCGCCCGGTGTAGGACGCCCGACCGAGGACGTCTCCCGCCGCCGAGACGAGCAACATCCAGTCGCCGTCCTCCTGCAGCTTCATGCCGTTCTCCTTCAACTGACCGGCCGAAAGCAGGTTCGCTCGCACGCCCAAGACATAGAGCACGTCGAGGATGAGCCCCTGCCTCCAGGCCTCCCCTTGCAGAGCGACAGTGCCGCGGCCCTGAATGTCCTGCAGCGCCCCATTGAAGCCGCGCACGTGCTTGACGTCGCCGCTCGGCTGTAGGTCGACGAAGAACTCTTTCGTCCCCATCAAGTGGTGGGAGCAACAACTATCAAGCAGAACTACCGCCGGGTTTGTCTGCACGGCTACCGCCATCGCTTGGAAGTCCTCGCCGGCCTCCGGCGCCAGCGAGACGGTCGGCTCCACGACGCCAACCAGCGAGCACGACGCCTCCTTGTCGTCTCGCCCTTTGCCGCCAGCAGAGGAGTCAGCGTCCTTCGCCGAGGTCGACGACTTGGTCGACTGCTTCTCCTTGCGCGGCTGGTTTCTGCCTCGACGGGGACGACGGCTGCCAGACCTCCTGCGGCCTCCCACGGCCTCCCTTGGCGTCGTCCTCGTCGGATTCACTGCGGTCGGGGCACTCGAAGGAGAGGTGGTTGGGGTCGCTGCACAGCCAGCACTCCCGACGTCGACTTCCTCCTCCACAACCGCTATCCTTGGCCGACTTCTTCTTGGCGGCGTCCTTGGTCGGCTTCCAGCCACTGCTACCACCGCCGCCAGACTGCCCGCGCTGCCCTGGTCGACCACCTTGCTTCACTAGGGCGACCTAGTTCACTTGTGCAAGGAGCTCCGAGGGCCGCTCAGCTTCCTGCATCGCCTCATCCTGCAGGATGTACGAGGTAAGAGAATCCTCGTTGAGTGTCGCCCTAGTACTCGGCGCCAACGACACTCGTTTCAGCAAGTTGTAGCTGTTCGTGAGCCCTTTGATAACGTGCGTGAGGTACGACGCCGTCGAGTAGTGCACGCTGGCCATCCTCATGGTGGCGAGAATTCGCCGAGCCCGGTTGCAGTAGTCAGTCGCCGTCTCCTCTTCGCCCATCCGTATGTGCGACAGCTGCTCCTCAAGCTGGCCGATGTACAGGTCGTCATTGACCTGGTACGTCGACTCGATAAAGTGCCATGCCCGGTGGCCAGCGTCGAGGTACTCCCTGCACGTCTTCAAGGCGATATGCACGCCCGGCGAGCAGCACCGCGAGATGACCGTGAAGGTCAGTAACTGCACGGCGCGAAACTCCGCACGCAAGTCGGGGTAGTGTTCCTCCGGCGTCGCCACAGTGCCCCTGGTGAAGCCGATCAGCCTGGCCATCTCCAACTGGGGCTCGATGGCTTCCTTCCAGGTGAGGATATCAGGTCGACCAACAAGCAAGGGGGTGACCGAGATCCTGTCCGGCGTAAACTTGAAGTAGCCGTAGCTCGGTGCAATCCCGCCCGCTGTCACGTGGGTCGCCGACATTGGCGACAAACTGCTTCGTCGTCCTCCGACGTCGCCATGCGAGGAGCGTGCAGCCGCCGACGACCGCATCCCTCGCGCCTCAACGTCGCCGACTTCATCGGCGTGTATCACACCTCGCTGCCTCGACGTGCCTCACGCATTGCTGCCGACTTGGTCACCACCGGCATTGACTCCCACGTCGACGCCGCCCTCGTTGTTCACCGGTCGAGGAGAAGCTAGTCGAGCAGGGTGCTCTTCCGCCCACATCGAGCGGATGCCTGCCTCGATGACCGCCGGTGGTAGGTTTGGCCCGTACTCGTTGGCCTCATGGCGTCTCCTCGCGTCCTCCAGCCGTGCCTCCAGGGTGTCCACCACTCCTGCGTCACCTACGGCGCCTACCATAGTTACTACCGCACAGTTGCCGGCCTATAAACACGAATTAGGTAAGTGACCACTACGTCGACCTGACTGAAGGAGTAAGTCGTGTGCCGTCCACGCTCACCGCACCATGCGGAGATAACTCTATCAACGGGAGCTAGACTACGGGCTAGGCATGGGGTAGGAGGGATCTCTGCGTTCGTTCACTTAGTCGTTCTCTAGCACTTGTGCATTCACGGGGCAAAACCGCAAGAGTTTCACTATCACAAGTTGAGAACATAATGGGTAGCAACTAGATTGGCAAGGTAGACTATATCAGAAGCCTAGCATACAAATCGACCACCAGCTCAACACGAAGGCGACTTGCCAGCTGGTCGACCTTTGGCGTCCTCGGGGGTCCTCAGTCGACCTGCAAGGCTGGCGTGCCAGCACACCGACAACAGGCCACCACAGGTCACCACACGTGCTCATGTGCGCGCACCTACTTCGCAAGTGCAAAGTGACGGTGACGACATGCACCGCCACACACATTGCGCAGGTGCCAAGTCGACCATATGTCGACGGTTGCACCAGAGTAGTCCTGTTGACCACGTGCCACCGAACTGCAGGTCGACTTTGCCGATCTACCTGGGCGACGGTCGCGAACCTCGCAGACCTCGTTGTCCGGGTAACCTGGTCGACCAGGCAACCATGTCGACCAGGTATGTCATCCCAGGCCCGTCGATCGCCCAGGTCGACGACCACATCATGTCGACCACACCAGGTCGACCACTCCCCTCGTCGACCAACTCCAGGTCGACAACCCACCTGGTCGACCAACTCCAAGTCAACCAGAACACCTGTCAGCCTACCACACCCAGTCGGCTTCCCCTGGTCGGCGTCACCCAAGTTGACGCCCTCCACTGGTCGACCTCCCAAGTCGACTAGCCGAAGTTGGCGCCCTCCCAAAGTCGGCGCCCTTGCAGTGGCCCTTAATAGGTCGACCAGGCCCGTCGACCAGCTCGCCCACTGTTGCAGGTCGGCTGCACTCCTCACACCCGACCCCGAGGTCGGCTCCACCCAAACGAGGACGGGGCCAACAACAACTCCCGTTGACACACACCACACCACACCACACCACACCACATTACACCACACTGCACCACACCACACCACAACACACCACACCACACCACACCACACCACACCACGCCACACCACACCACACCACACTGCACCACACCACATTGCACCATACCAGACCACACTGCACCACACCACATTGCACCACACCACACCACACCACACCACACCACACCACACCACACCACACCACACCACATTGCACCACACCACACCACACCACACCACACCACACCACATTGCACCACACCACACCACACCACACCACACCACACCACACCACACCACACCACACCACACCACACCACACCACACTGCACGACACGACACGACACGACACGACACGACACGACACGACACGACACGACACGACACCACACCACACTGCACCACACCACACCACACCACACCACACCACACCACACCACACCACACCACACCACACCACATCACACTGCACCACACCACGCTGCACCACACCACGCTACACCATTGGTATCTTCTTCAAACATGGTGGCGACATACACATACCACACCGTACCATACCATTGCACCACAGTGCACCACAATTAGCCACGCTGCAGCACACCACACCACTCCTCTTCAAACACGGTGGCAAAACACACAACACACTATACCATGCTATCGCACCACACCACACCGCATCACACCACTGACCTCTTCTTCAAACATGGTGGCGATACTGGACGATCGCTCCACAGCAGCCGCCCGCTTGATAGCCACCTCCATGCCGCCCACCACATGGACACCGCCGCCCGCACAACGCACCCCCCCGTCCGACCCATCAGCACTGCCGGCCACCTTGCCACCCGACCCTGCACCCTTCGCACCAGCAGCAGCTTCAACCAGAGAAGTTGTGCTCCCACTCGTGCCGCTGCCCCCACTCGTGCCGCTTCCCCCACTCGTGCCGCTTCCCCCACTCATGAAACTGCTTTTGGTTCTGCTGCTGGCCTCTGCCCTCTTCCACACCCGCGAGCTCCACCCGCTCTGCTGCTCCCCGCCAATGACGCCCCAGTAGACGGAGCCGAAGCCGCCCTTGCCGAGAAGGTTGTCGGGGCTCAGCTGGTTGGTCGCCTCCATCACCTCCCTCCACGTGTACCTCCTGAAGCCCTGCTGCAGCTCCCTCTCCCACGCTGCTTGTGGTGGAGGAGGAGGGGGGTGAGAGGGCAGGGGAACAGAGAGAGAGGGCAGGAATAAAAGAGGTGGGGAAAGCAAAGATCAAGGGAAGAGAAGAGGGGGAAGCAAAAAGTGCATGTAAGTTGAGAGGATGGGTAGCTGCTTAATATCATGCATGTCATGTCCGCACCGCACCCATGCGGGCCGTTTGTACACATATGCCATTCGTGCACACACACTTGCCATTCGTGCTCACACACTTGCCATTCGTGCACACACACTTGCCATTCAAGCTCACACACTTGCCATTCGTGCTCACACACTTTTGCTATGCTACACACCAAACATCGGCTTGATCAAGAGGTGCAATTGATAAGGGGGTTGTTGGGTGTACTCCAACCACAAATTGTGGTGGATACCTGGTTGAGTTTTTCATAATTTTTAGACCTCCAGTGATGTTGGTAAAAGACAGACAGCCCGCAACCATTGGACCCCCAATAGTTTTGGCCACTTGGACTGCTCACTGCGAGCATAGATTCAACAAACTCTCTCTCCTTCCGTTTTGAGGCCCTTCAGATCATTTCGGCACATCCTCTCTCCGCCTTAAAAAAAATTCTGTGAAGAAGAACCCGCCAGTCTGCCAAGAAGCAACGTCGCACCTCCCCGTGCCTCAAGCAGGCGCAACGACTCCGCCTCCTCATCCTTCACAGGGCTGCCCACCCCTCCATTCACTAGACCTCCGTTTCTCCTGGCTACTTGGGAATCCATCTCAGCCCCTTAGGAGGCTCCTAGCATAGAGCTTCTCTCCAGGCAGCTGGCGGCTATCCTCATGGATAAGGGAATAACATTTGTTCCACGTGCTCCATTGGGATGCTGGCCATACGGCCATTTTTCCAGCTAGCTCTATTCTTTGATTCGTAGAATGATCACGAAATAGCCTTAACCGAATAATCTTGGCCAACCCAGCCAACCGTTGTTGGGACCACCAATAATTGTACGCCAAGCCAATCCATGTTCTCTCTCTATCAATGTATGCCGTTCTTCATTCGATACCATCCTCTCATGCCATAGCGTGTGTACCACAAAGCAACCTCTTTGATTGGTAAGTCTAGTGGAGTGGCCAATGGATAGCTTCCTTCCATAACATTTTGATATTGCCGTGTTCTTTAGAGCATTGCCTTGTACCTCATTAATAGTTTTTCGTCCCAACTTTGTTGGTTAAGAAAAAGGAGCGACCACTGCTAAATTGAGCATGAAATGTGCATACTCGGTATTCATTTCATCCTGTGTTCATCAATATTAAGATTTAATTCCGCATTCCATAGGAACAGAATTCTTGGCAGAATGTTAATTCGGACACTATTTGCAAATCATTCAAAAAGAATGCATCTGAATCCGAGGTGACTTTTGGGTCGACTCAAGAGTCACCTCGTTTACAGGCTTACTGCTCACCCTTGTGGCTGCCGGGTCCCCAGTAGTAATAATGCCACACATAGAGCAGCATGAGCTGCGCTGCCAGCAGCAACACCTCACTCCCCAACCCACGCACACCCCCACCACAGTCACCATCGCACCCCACTCACCCTCGCCCCACTCACCCTTGCGGCTGCCGGGTCCCCAGTAGTAATACCACACGTAGAGCAGAACGAGCAGCACCACACAGCCCACCCCACGCACACCCCCACCACCACCACACTCACCATCGCACCCCATTCGCCCTCGCCCAACTCACCCTTGCGGCTGCCAGGGCCCCAATTGTAGTACCACACGTAGAGCGATACGAGCAGCACCAGCATCACAATCACCACACTCCCCACCACCACGCCTGCTATGCCTGATGGGGATAGCACTGGTGGACGGGCGGTGCAGGGGGAGCAGGGAGAATGAGTGGGTGATTGGATTAGGGAGGGATAGATGGTTCCACATGTAGAGCAGCAGCACCAGCATCACAATCACCACAATCCCCACCACAATGCCTGCTATGCCTGATGTGGATAGCACTGGTGGCTGGACGATGTAGGGAAAATGGGGAAAGAGTGGATGGGTGGGTCGGATTAGAGAGAGATAGGAGGTGCCACGCACACACACAAATGTAGAGCAGCGCTGCAAGCAGCAGTGCCATACAGCTCACCACAATGCCTGTGCTGCGATGTCTGCTGCTGACAGCACTGGTGGGCAGGCCACACAAGGGATCGGGCATGGGGACGGTGCAGTGAGAGTAGAGCTCAGGAGAAGAACCGTGATTGGATGAGAACCAAACCTTCCAGAGTTGGGAGCAGCTAATGACAGGGTGGGATGGAATCCCACCCAGTGCGTGACCGGCAGGCATGGGAATAAACCAACGTGCAGGTGAGTGAAGGAACAAAGAGAATATGAAGGGGCAGTGGAGACAAGAGGTGTGGCCATAGCATGCAGCATGCGGCAGGCACATCGGCCTGAACCACTGCGTGCCACAGAGAATGAGCAAACAATTGGGAGAGAGAGGATTACCTGGTGGTTGGCAGTCGTGGCAGAAGTCTTGGCAGAGGAGGGAGCAGTAGGGCAGGTGACAGGTGGGAGAGGGAGAGCGGGTGAGAGAGGGTTACCTGGTGGTTGGCAGTGGGAGAGGGTTACCTGGTGGTTGGCAGGCCTTGCAGAAGTCGTGGCAGAGGAGGGAGCAGTAGGGCAGGTCTGTCTGAAGAGAGAGAGAGGGTTACCTGGTGGTTGGCAGTGCGAGAGGGTTACCAGGTGGTTGGCAGTGCGAGAGGGTTACCTGGTGGTTGGCAGTGCGAGAGGGTTACCTGGTGGTTGGCAGTGGGAGAGGGTTACCTGGTGGTTGGCAGGCCTTGCAGAAGTCGTGGCAGAGGAGGGAGCAGTAGGGCAGGTCCGTCTGAAGGGTGCCGGGACAGCAGGAGTCGACAGGGCGAGCGGGGCAGTGCAGCTTGGTGTTGGTGAGTGTGCTGTGAAAGGGGACAGGGGAGAGATGGGGGGGAAGGGAGGGAGAATGGTGATGGATGCTTGGTGCTGGGACAGCAGGAGTCGACAGGGTGCGTGGGGCAGTGCAGTGGAGCTTGGTGCTGGTGAGTGTGTTGGTGTGAGAGCATGGGGGAGGGGGAAGGGGGGATAGAGGGGGCGAATGGTGGATGCTTGGTATTGGCGCAGCTTGGTGCTGGTGGGTATGCTGAAGCATGGGATGAGGGAAGAGGTAGGGGGGAGAGGGGTGAAACGGTGGATGAGGGGGAATCGCATGGGCATGAGTGAGGGAATTGGGGCGAAGAGTGTGTTGAGGGAGAGAGCAGGGGACAGAGCAGGGGAGATAGCAAGCAGGAGCAAGGAGCATAGGCGGGAGCAGGGAGCATAGGAGAGAGCAGGGAGCGTAGAGTGACAGGAGGGAGCGTAGAGTGACAGGAGGGAGCGTAGAGTGAGAGGAGGGAGCGTAGAGTGAGAGGAGGGAGCGTAGAGTGAGAGGAGGAAGCGTAGAGTGACAGGAGGGAGTGTAGAGTGAGAGGAGGGAGCGTAGAGTGAGAGCAGGGAGCGTAGAGTGAGAGCAGGGAGCGTAGAAGTGAGAGGAGGGAGCGTAGAAGTGAGAGGAGGGAGCAGGGCAGTGAGGCGTACAGAATGCCGAGGGACTGAACGGTGGCCCAGCAGGGCGGCAGCTTGCCCTGCAGAAACGGATTGTGGTCGACAGACCTGGTGAAGGGGAAGGGGGAGGGCGGGCGGGCGGGCGGGCGGGCGGGCGGGCAGGCAGGCAGGCAGGCAGGCAGGCAGGCAGGCAGGCAGGCAGGCAGGCAGGCATCATGATGATCATCAAAACTCACAAGTGCTGCACACACTCACAGGCTTCGAGACGTCTCAAAACCCGATGATTATCATGCGGATCATGAGAGAGCTTTGAGACGTTTCAGTTGTTTTTTTAGACGTTTCATACCGAAATTTTTTTAGACGTTTTATAATGTCTTGAGACAGTTCCATAACTGAAGTTGGTGAGATGGTCACAACTATTTTAGGTCCCATAGAATTATAACGTCTCAACAACAGTCCCATAGAGCTCTGAAAAAGAATTAGCGTTGGTGAGATGAGTTACATACAAGATTGGCTAGACGGCCGGTCTGGATTGGCTGTTTAGAGTGATGGTTACTGTACAGCCATCAAGGCTGGTGTGATAATTACTGTACAACCATCAAGGCTGGTTCGATGGTTATGAATGGTAAGTATGTTACAGTTCAACAAGGTTGGTGAGTTGCCCCAGAGAGATTGGAAGTGTGCCCGAGACATTGTTGTGACTCAAATGGCTGCCGTAGGGGGGGCGGGCAAGGCGAGGGGGAGGAGCAGGTGTGAGCAGGAAGAGGGGGGAAAGAGAGATTGACTTTTGAGTCGACTCAAAAGTCATCAGGGGGAAAAGAGAGATTGTTGTGACTCAACTGGCTGCCGGAGGGGGAAATGGATGGATGGGGTGGCAATGGGGGTGGATACGGGGGGGGGGGGAGTATTGGGCGTAGGAAAGAGAACTGGCAGGGGATGAGGGAGGGAGGCATGGAGGGAAAGAGCTCGATTCTAGCAACTTGAGACGTCTGAAAACTCAATGGATGGGAATGGATGAGGGAGTGAGATATGCAGGGAAAGAACTCGATCCTAGCAAAGCAAGAACTAAGCACGCAGGGGAAATAAATGAGACAGATTGTAGACCACCCACCACTAGTCCTGGTGAGCTGTGTTACTCGCTGATGTGCTGAGAGAAACAGAGTTACCTCACAGCTGATTCCTCACATGACCAGCCGGGTTGGAATAGAATATACAGTCCAGTCCATTTGTCCATGGAGCCTCCATTTTTCTGGTTTGGAGGGCTCGATTTGTCTTACTGGTTACAAGTTGTATTGTATGTAACTATCAACTCCTCATCCCAACCCTACGTCTCTCAAGAACTATGTTTTATGACAACCATTGAGACCTCCCTTCCCTTGCCCGAACATTCAGAGTCACAAGCACTGAGTAACTGCACAAGTGCTGCACAATCTCACAAGTGCTGCACACACTCACAAGTGCTGCACACACTCACAAGTACTGCACACACTCACAAGTGCTGCACACACTCACAAGTGCTGCACACTCTCACAAGTGCTGCACACACTCACAAGTGCTGCACACACTCACAAGTGCTGCACACTCTCACAAGTGCTGCACACACTCACAAGTACTGCACACACTCACAAGTGCTGCACACACTCACAAGTACTGCACACACTCACAAGTGCTGCACACACTCACAAGTGCTGCACAATCTCACAAGTGCTGCACACACTCACAAGTGCTGCACACACTCACAAGTACTGCACACACTCACAAGTGCTGCACACACTCACAAGTGCTGCACACTCTCACAAGTGCTGCACACACTCACAAGTGCTGCACACACTCACAAGTGCTGCACACTCTCACAAGTGCTGCACACACTCACAAGTACTGCACACACTCACAAGTGCTGCACACACTCACAAGTGCTGCACACACTCACAAGTGCTGCACACACTCACAAGTGCTGCACACACTCACAAGTGCTGCACACACTCACAAGTGCTGCACACACTCACAAGTACTGCACACACTCACAAGTGCTGCACACACTCACAAGTGCTGCACACACTCACAAGTGCTGCACACACTCACAAGTGCTGCACACACTCACAAGTGCTGCACACACTCACAAGTGCTGCACACACTCACAAGTGCTGCACACACTCACAAGTGCTGCACACACTCACAAGTGCTGCACAATCTCACAAGTGCTGCACACACTCACAAGTGCTGCACACACTCACAAGTGCTGCACACACTCACAAGTGCTGCACACACTCACAAGTGCTGCACACACTCACAAGTGCTGCACACACTCACAAGTGCTGCACACACTCACAAGTGCTGCACACACTCACAAGTGCTGCACACTCTCACAAGTGCTGCACACACTCACAAGTGCTGCACACACTCACAAGTGCTGCACACTCTCACAAGTGCTGCACACACTCACAAGTGCTGCACACACTCACAAGTGCTGCACACACTCACAAGTACTGCACACACTCACAAGTGCTGCACACACTCACAAGTGCTGCACACACTCACAAGTGCTGCACACACTCACAAGTGCTGCACACACTCACAAGTGCTGCACACACTCACAAGTGCTGCACACACTCACAAGTGCTGCACAATCTCACAAGTGCTGCACACACTCACAAGTGCTGCACACACTCACAAGTGCTGCACACACTCACAAGTGCTGCACACACTCACAAGTGCTGCACACTCTCACAAGTGCTGCACACACTCACAAGTGCTGCACACACTCACAAGTGCTGCACACACTCACAAGTGCTGCACACACTCACAAGTGCTGCACACACTCACAAGTGCTGCACACTCTCACAAGTGCTGCACACACTCACAAGTGCTGCACACACTCACAAGTGCTGCACACACTCACAAGTGCTGCACACTCTCACAAGTGCTGCACACACTCACAAGTGCTGCACACACTCACAAGTGCTGCACACACTCACAAGTACTGCACACACTCACAAGTGCTGCACACACTCACAAGTACTGCACACACTCACAAGTGCTGCACACACTCACAAGTGCTGCACACACTCACAAGTGCTGCACACACTCACAAGTGCTGCACACACTCACAAGTGCTGCACACTCTCACAAGTGCTGCACACACTCACAAGTGTTGCACACACTCACAAGTGCTGCACACACTCACAAGTGCTGCACACACTCACAAGTGCTGCACACACTCACAAGTACTGCACACACTCACAAGTACTGAAGGCTCGTCATGTGCCCCCACGAGTCAGGGAAGGGGCCAGACAGACCCATGTCCGTTAGATGGCTGCGAGGGAGGCGAGCACGACAGAGAGGAGGGTGCAACGGTGGTGTTAACAAGTGAAGGGAATGAGGATGACTAGAATGAGAGAGGGGAGGAGAGGGTCTGTGAGAAAGAGGGATGCGGCCTGACAGACACATGTCCGTTAGATGGCTGGGAGGGGGGCGAGCATGAGAGGGTGAGATGGAAGAGGTGTGGGGCAGAGAGCAAAAGGGATGGGACCTGACAGACCCATGCCCGTGGGATGACTGGAAGGAGGCACGAGGAGCAGGGCATGAGATGTTTTGAGATGTCTCAAAACACGAGGAGCAGGGCATGAGATGGACGGCTCTTTATCACTTGAACTGTTCCAAAGGCTTGAATAACATAACGGTTCCAGACAGGCGACAAACGCCACAGCTAGCAGGAGGGCGGGGCGTACAGGTGGGTGAGGAGGCATACAGGTGGGTGAGGAGGCGTACAGGTGGGTGAGGAGGCATACAGGTGGGTGAGGAGGCGTACAAGTGGGTGAGGAGGCGTGCAGGTGGGAGAGGCGTACAGGTGGGTGAGGAGGCGTACAGGTGGGTGAGGAGGCGTACAGGTGGGTGAGGTTCTTGAGCTGCGAGAAGGACTCCGGCAGCGACCCTTCCATGGGGTTGGAGTAGAGCTTTCTGTGCGAGGCATGGGGTGGGGTGGGGTGGGGTGAAGTGACCGAGGCAGGTGGGTGAGGGTAGTGGTATGGCAGGGCATGGACGGTACAGCGACCCTTCCATAGGGTTGGAGTAGAGCATTCTGTGGGGGGCAAGGGGTGGGGTGGGGTGGAATGAAGTGAGGTGACTGAGGCAGGTGGGTGAGGGTAGCGGTATGGCAGGGCATGAACAGTGCAGGGATCCTTCCATGGAGTTGGTTGGAGTAGAGTTTTCTGGGAATGAGTTGAGTCAAACATGTGGACAAGCAGGACAATGATTCAGGAGAGGAACGTGGTGTCAAACGTGTTGTTTCACACGAACAGAGCGCCAAGGGATTAGAAGGATTCGAACTAGAATAAGCTGAGTGTTGACTATGCCATATGAGCCATCTACAGCCATCTACAGCCATCTACAGCCATCTACAAGCTAAAGTAAAAAGAGCGCCCAGACATCTCGATGGTTCAGGAGGTCGGGGTAGCAAAACCTGGCATGGGTAGATGACGAAGGAGTTCCGAATGTCAACAAGGTAGGCGTTACTAGAGAGGCGATGGAATCAGGTTGGCAGTGGTGGGAGGGAGGTCGTAGGAACAGTCACCTGCCAGCAGCTATAAATGGCACAGGCACTTGTGTGCTACAACTCAGTGGCAACTCACTCACAACTGCTGCACTCACAATTGCACTCACAACTGCTGCTTCACTAAGAACTCAGTGGCTGCACTCACTCAGTGGCTGCACTCACTCAGTGGCAGCACACTCACAGCTGCTGCACTCACTCAGTGGCAGCGCACTCACAGCTGCTGTAGCTTGGTCATGCTGCCAAAGAAGGGCGGCAGAGCGCCTGTGAAGGAGTTGTTGTTGGCGAAACTGCCATCGGCGCCGTGCATGCCGTGACGGGAGGTGCGGGGGGGGGGGGGGGGGGGAGGTAAGGGGGGGAAGACTTTTGAGGCGCCTCAACAATCTTGGTGCCAAAGAAGGGCGGCAGAGCGCCTGTGAAGGAGTTGCTGTTGGCGAAACTGCCACCCGTGCGGTGAACTGAAGGGGAGGTGCGGGGGGGGGGTTGCAAGAACGGGGATGGGTTCAGGAGAAAGAGAAATATGGGCATGGGGACAAGCAGGAATGGCACTTGCAAGCTTTCTTGCAAGAGGGGCAGGGAAGGGATGAGTGGCAAGAGGGAGTGGGAGGGGATGCGTGGCAAAAGGGAGTGGGAAGGGATTAGTGGCAAGAGTGAGGGAAAGGGATGAGTGAGAAAAGGCACAGGAAGGAAGGGAGGGAGAACTGATAGGAGGCTGAGTTTTGTGAGCGCTGAAAAGCTGGAAGACATGTCTTTGAATCTATTCAGAACGTGCTTTCACTCAAGAATGAGTGACACGAGGCTCGGGAAGGAAGGGAGGACCGACACGAGGCTCGGGAAGGAAGGGAGGACCGACACGAGGCTCGGGAAAGAAGGGAGGACTGACAAGAGGCGTGGGAAGGAAGGGAGGACCGACAAGAGGCGTGGGAAGGGAGGGAGGACTAACAAGAGGCGTGGGAAGGGAGGGAGGACTGACAAGAGGCTGAGATTGGTGAGCGCTGAGAAGTTTGCAGGCAGGGAGTTGGAAAATCCGTTGCGCTCCAGTCGACTGGTGAATGCACACAGCAGGCATTCATGGTTCACCCCCCAGCACACACGCACACCGCTCTCCTCCCCTCTCGACCATACTCCACAGTACACACACAGACGGATACACACAAATGCAGATTACCAAGTAGACACAGACACAAACACACACAACCATGCACGCACACAGACGAGAAGAGGAGTGTTGGCATGAGATGAGTGCTGTTGAGATGTTGCGAAACCGACTCACAGTGCCTCGGTGCAAAAATATTTACATTAATATCCTCACAAGAAGTTTTTTATCTACCATTTGTTTCATCTCTAATAAAAAAATTAGAAACAAATTAAAATAATTGAAACGAATTTTGGACCAAGGTTTGGCCCTAGCTTTCTGATTATACATTGTGTTAGTTGAGTTGAGACCAAGCGTCATCCAAGGGTACGCCAAAAGAAGGTAAGCCAAAAGCTTACCTAACCTCGTTCCACACTGACTTGAAATGGTTTTTTGTTGTCTTGCCCAACTGGCATCCGCCAGCTGTGTTTTTCAGTGTGGGGATTAGCATTATTCACCAACAGCAGTACGGGTGTTCACTCAATAGCTGACTGCTCCTAATTTGAGGAGGGGTTCAATGCTTAGACGTATCTGACTCTTGCTGGAATCATTTGATTCTCCTTAACCATATTTCTTCTTAGCCGTGAAATTTTGTTTCTTCTTAGCCCTCCCTCCCTCCCTCCCCCCCCTCCCTCCCTCCCTCCCTCCCTCCCTCCCTTCTGCCCTCACTTCCTCACTCGCCCAGAATTGGACGCACAGGGTGTGAAGGCACTTGAGGTTAGTGATCAACCAGTAGTAGTGGATCCACCCATCCACTCTATCCCCATTCCCCCTGCACAACCTAAGGAAGCATGCCATAGAGCCCCTTGCCGCTGGAGGTGGGCGGTGGATCATCCCTCCTCTCCTTACCTCATCCGCCCAGCAATGAACGCACAGGGTGTGAAGGAGCTTGTGGTTAGTGATCGACTAGTAGTAGCCGACCCACCCATCCACTCTATCCCCAGCATGAACGCCCAGCAATGAACGCACAGAAATGAACGCACAGCAATGAACGCACAGCAATGAACGCACAGAGTGTGAAGGTGCTTGAGTTTTGTGATCGACTCTGGCACCATGCCTTCGAACTGATTGCCGCCCAGATTGCTGCGCACACACATGGGGGAGCAGGACTGGGCGGGAATTTTTGTCTGGAATCAACCATTGCCAGTGAGTCTGTTGCCGTCCACGTTGCTGCACACATGAAGACAGGGAGGGAGGGGATGTTTGAGTGTTCTGGTGTTGCTCCTGGGTCACCTCGGAGCAGAAGGAAGGGGACTGGCTGTGGGAAGGGAATGGGCTGTGGGAAGGGAATGGGCTGTGGGAAGGCGATGGACTGTGGGAAGGCGATGGACTGTGGGAAGGCGATGGACTGGGAAATTGTGTGCTATTGTTACAAGTCAGGGGCTGCTAGGAGTAAAGTACGAGAGGCTGCATACTTGGAAACTCATTGATGCGAATGTTGGTACATAGGGAGAGAAGGGGACGGATAAGTGTGATTAGGGGGGTGGATAAGGTGGGAAAGCAGAACAAGAGAGAAGGCGTATCATCTCACATGGCGTATCATCTCACATGAGGTATCTCACATGGCGTATCATCTCACATGGCGTATCATCTCACATGGGGTATCATATCACATTACATGGGGTATCATCTCACATCACATGGGGTATCATCTCAAATCACATGGGGAATCATCTCACATCACATGGGGTATCATCTCACATCACATGGGGTATCATCTCACATCACATGGGGTATCATCTCACATCACATGGGGTATCATCTCACATCACATGGGGTATCATCTCACATCACATGGGGTATCATCTCACATCACATGGGATATCATCTCACATCACATGGGTTATCATCTCACATCACATGGGGTATCATCTCACATCACATGGGGTATCATCTCACATCACATGGGGTATCATCTCACATCACATGGGGTATCATCTCACATCACATGGGGTATCATCTCACATCACATCGGGTATAATCTCAAATCACATGGGGTATCATCTCACATCACATGGGGTATCATCTCACATCACATGGGATATCATCTCACATCACATGGGGTATCATCTCACATCACATGGGGTATCATCTCACATCACATGGGGTATCATCTGACATCACATGGGGTATCATCTCACATCACATGGGGTATCATCTCACATCACATGGGGTATCATCTCACATCACATGGGGTATCATCTCACATCACATGGGGTATCATCTCACATCACATGGGATATCATCTCACATCACATGGGGTATCATCTCACATCACATGGGGTATCATCTCACATCACATGGGGTATCATCTCACATCACATGGGATATCATCTCACATCACATGGGTTATCATCTCACATCACATGGGGTATCATCTCACATCACATGGGGTATCATCTCACATCACATGGGGTATCATCTCACATCACATGGGGTATCATCTCACATCACATGGGGTATCATCTCACATCACATCGGGTATAATCTCAAATCACATGGGGTATCATCTCACATCACATGGGATATCATCTCACATCACATGGGTTATCATCTCACATCACATGGGGTATCATCTCACATCACATGGGGTATCATCTCACATCACATGGGGTATCATCTCACATCACATGGGGTATCATCTCACATCACATGGGGTATCATCTCACATCACATGGGGTATCATCTCACATCACATGGGATATCATCTCACATCACATGGGGTATCATCTCACATCACATGGGGTATCATCTCACATCACATGGGGTATCATCGCACATCACATGGGATATCATCTCACATCACATGGGGTATAATCTCACATCACATGGGATATCATCTCACATCACATGGGTTATCATCTCAGATCACATGGGGTATCATCTCACATCACAGGGGGTATCATCTCACATCACATGGGGTATCATCTCACATCACATGGGATATCATCTCACATCACATGGGGAATCATCTCACATCACATGGGGTATCATCTCACATCACATGGGATATCATCTCACATCACATGGGATATAATCTAACATCATACGGGGTATAATCTCACATCACATGGGGTATCATCTCACATCACATGGGGTATCATCTCACATCACATGGGGTATCATCTCACATCACATGGGGTATAATCTCACATCACATGGGGTATCATCTCACATCACATGGGATATCATCTCACATCACATGGGGTATCATCTCACATCACATGGGGTATCATCTCACATCACATGGGTTATCATCTCACATCACATGGGGTATCATCTCACATCACATGGGGTATCATCTCACATCACATGGGGTATCATCTCACATCACATGGGGTATCATCTCACATCACATGGGGTATCATCTCACATCACATGGGATATCATCTCACATCACATGGGGTATCATCTCACATCACATGGGGTATCATCTCACATCACATGGGGTATCATCTCACATCACATGGGGTATCATCTCACATCACATCGGGTATAATCTCAAATCACATGGGGTATCATCTCACATCACATGGGGTATCATCTCACATCACATGGGATATCATCTCACATCACATGGGGTATCATCTCACATCACATGGGATATAATCTAACATCATACGGGGTATAATCTCACATCACATGGGGTATCATCTCACATCACATGGGGTATCATCTCACATCACATGGGGTATCATCTCACATCACATGGGGTGTAATCTCACATCACATGGGGTATCATCTCACATCACATGGGATATCATCTCACATCACAAGGGGTATCATCTCACATCACATGGGGTATCATCTCACATCACATGGGGTATCATCTCACATCACATGGGGTATCATCAGGATTTACAGGTTGGTTAGGGTCCCCAGGGCAGGGAGCAAGGCAGGGAGCAAGGCAGGGAGCAAGGCAGGGAGAATCATCCCATGCCATGCCAGAAGCCTCAGAGAGGGCACAGTATCTCTCTCACGGGCCGATTATTTAGGGGCCTCAAAAAGAGGCTCAGAGAGGGCACTGTATCTCTCTCACGGGCCGATTTTTTAGGGGCCTCAAAAAGAGGCTCAGAGAGGGCACAGTATCTCTCTCACGGGCCGATTATTTAGGGGCCTCAAAAAGAGGCTCAGAGAGGGCACAGTATCTCTCTCACGGGCCGATTTTTTATGGGCCTCAAAAAGAGGCTCAGAGAGGGCACTGTATCTCTCTCACGGGCCGATTTTTTAGGGGCCTCAAAAAGAGGCTCAGAGAGGGCACAGTATCTCTCTCACGGGCCGATTATTTAGGGGCCTCAAAAAGAGGCTCAGAGAGGGCACGGTATCTCTCTCACGGGCCGATTTTTTAGGGGCCTCAAAAAGAGGCTCAGAGAGGGCACAGTATCTCGCACGGGCCTCACAGGATTTGCAGGTTGGTTAGGTCCCCCAGGGACCAGGGCAGGGAGCCGTTGAGCTGATTTCCATCCAGCTGCCTGCTAGGGGGGAGGGAGAGGGGGAGGGGGGAGGGGGAAGGGTGAGGGGGGAGGGTGAGGGGGGAGGGTGAGGGGGGAAAGGGGAGGGGGAATGTGCGAGGGGGAAGGCAAGGCAGGGAGCCGGTTAGCTGATTTCAGTCCAGCTGCCTGCCAGGGGGGGAGGGAGAGAGGGAGGGGGGGGGGGGGTGAGGGGGGAAAGGGGAGGGGAAATGTGCGAGGGGGAAGGCAAGGCAGGGAGCCGGTTAGCTGATTTCCGTCCAGCTGCCTGCCAAGGGAGGGGCGAGGGGGGTGAGAGGGGCGAGGGGAGTGAGAGGGGCGAGGGGAGTGAGAGGGGCGAGGGGAGTGAGAGGGGCGAGGGACGAGGAGAGGAAGGCGAGGGGCAGCAGAGGGGGGGTTTGAGACGAGGGCGATAATACAGTATGGCGCATGGAAGAGGAGGGAGGTGAGAGGGCAGTGAAACATATGTGAGAGAAGGGATACTCTCTGGTCAGGAAGACAGAGAAGAGGGTCTGAGTAGAGGGATGGAAGTCTGGAGTATCAAAAGGGTAAGAAAATCAATGTGCAATGTGAGGCAGTTGGAAAGGGGGAGGGAGGGAGAAGGGGTGGAGAGGTGCTGCAGTGGCAAGGCGTGACCGTGGGGGCAGCATGTAACAAGTATTTACGAATGAACCACTAGGTTGACTTCTGATTTGACTCAGAAGGGCGGAGAGGTGCTGCAGAGGCTTTTGGGACTTGTAAAGAATGTCTCTGGCATGACCTCGAACAATCAAACCACTAGGTTAGGGGCAGCATGTTTCTACGAGCAAACCACTGGGTTAGAGGGGCAAGGGACGAGGGGGAGCATTGCATGAGCGATTGGAGGGGACGGGAGAGGAAGAGAGGACCCAGAGAGAGGGTACGGAGGGAGAGAGGCGTAGAGGGAGGGTAGGAAGCAAGAGAGGGTGGACAAGGAGGGTATGAGCATACATGGAAGTGAGGGGGCGTACAGGGAGGTGAGGGGGCGTACAGGGAGGTGAGGGGGCGTACAGGGAGGTGAGGGGGCGTACAGGGAGGTGAGGGGGCGTACAGGGAGGTGAAGGCGGTGAGCTTGCCAAGCTGATCAGAGAGATTTCCCCTGATGCCGGCTTGAGACAGCTTTCTGCCAACACAGCACACACACATCAGCACGAGGACCAGGGGAGGTGGGTGGCCGTTCAGAGCGGATAGGAACAAACACGGGTGACTTGTGAGTCTACTGGATGCCCGCTTGAGACAGCTTCCTGCCAGCACGCACACGCGCACACACACGAGGGCCAAGCCAACAGTGGCTGACATGGCATGTTCACACATGCACGCACACATGCACACACACATGCACGCACACATGCACGCACACATGCACGCACACATGCACGCACTCATGCACGCACACATGCACGCACGCATGCACGCACGCATGCACGCACACATGCACGCACACATGCACGCACACATGCACGCACACATGCACGCACACATGCACACACACATGCACGCACACATGCACACACACATGCACGCACACATGCACGCACACATGCACGCACACATGCACGCACACATGCACGCACACATGCACGCACACATGCACGCACACATGCACGCACACATGCACGCACGCATGCACGCACGCATGCACGCACGCATGCACGCACACATGCACGCACACATGCACGCACACATGCACGCACACATGCACGCACACATGCACGCACACATGCACGCACACATGCACGCACGCATGCACGCACGCATGCACGCACGCATGCACGCACGCATGCACGCACGCATGCACGCACACATGCACGCACACATGCACGCACACATGCACGCACACATGCACGCACACATGCACGCACACATGCACGCACACATGCACGCACACATGCACGCACACATGCACGCACACATGCACGCACACATGCACGCACACATGCACGCACACATGCACGCACACATGCACGCACACATGCACGCACACATGCACGCACACATGCACGCACACATGCACGCACACATGCACGCACACATGCACGCACACATGCACGCACACATGCACGCACACATGCACGCACACATGCACGCACACATGCACGCACACATGCACGCACACATGCACGCACACATGCACGCACACATGCACGCACACATGCACGCACACATGCACGCACACATGCACGCACACATGCACGCACACATGCACGCACACATGCACGCACACATGCACGCACACATGCACGCACACATGCACGCACACATGCACGCACACATGCACGCACACATGCACGCACACATGCACGCACACATGCACGCACACATGCACGCACACATGCACGCACACATGCACGCACACATGCACGCACACATGCACGCACATCGCACACATGCACGCACACATGCACGCACGCATGCACGCACGCATGCACGCACGCATGCACGCACGCATGCACGCACGCATGCACGCACGCATGCACGCACGCATGCACGCACGCATGCACGCACGCATGCACGCACGCATGCACGCACACATGCACGCACACATGCACGCACGCATGCACGCACGCATGCACGCACGCATGCACGCACGCATGCACGCACGCATGCACGCACACATGCACGCACGCATGCACGCACGCATGCACGCACACATGCACGCACACATGCACGCACACATGCACGCACACATGCACGCACACATGCACGCACACATGCACGCACACATGCACGCACACATGCACGCACACATGCACATACATACATACACACACACACACACCCACACACACACACACACACACACACAGCGTTACGCACAGGGCCATTGATGGAGTAGCATGTGGCATGTGGCATGTGGAATGTGGCATGTAATGCATGAGGGAGGATGGGACCCCACAGCTGGGCATGTGTCGTGTGCACATGGTGCGCGTGGCATGGCATAGTGTGCATGCAATGCCATGGTGTGCATGACACGGAATTGGTGTGCATACATGGCATGGCATGGCATGGTGTGTATGGCATGGCATGGCATGGTGTGCATGGCATGGCATGGTATGGCATGGTGTGCATGGGATGGCATGGCGTGGCATGGTGTGTATGGTATGGCATGGTTTGCATGGCATGGCATGGTGTGCATGGATGGCATGGTGTGCATGGCATGGCATGGTGTGCATGGCATGGCATGGTGTGCATGGCATGGCATGGTGTGCATGGGATGGCATGGTGTGCATGGGATGGCATGGTGTGCATGGCATGGCATGGTGTGCATGGCATGGCATGGTGTGCATGGGATGGCATGGCTTGCATATGGCATGGCAGTGCCCACTTACAGGGCAGTCACTGAGTCATCCTCAGAGCATGCTACAGCCGGGTCCCCCAGGCGGCACACATTCATCGCTCGCGTCCATGCCTGGAAGCAGCATGGCATGGCAGGCATGTGAACAGCATGCACTTACAGGGCCACCAACGAGCCATCCTTGGAGCAAGCTACCGCCGGGGCCCCCAGGTGGCAGGCGCAAATCATTCGCTCACCTCCATGCCTGGAAGCAGCATGGCGTGGCATGGTGTGCGTGGGATGGCATGGTGTGCATGGGATGGCATGGTGTGCATGGTGTGCAGTGCATGGTGTGCATGGTGTGCACATGGCAGGGTCCACTTACAGGCCCACCAGAGAGCCATCCTCGGAGCAAGATACCGCCGGGTCCCCCAGGCGGCACACATGCATCGCTCGCCGCCAATCCCTGAAGCGCCTAGCCGGCTGCCACCCTCGCACCACCTGTGCCAGCACTGCCGGGGGAGGGCAATGGGGTGCAGGGCGCAGTAGGAAAGGGATATTCTGAGTTTCCATGAGTGCCCAGCCCAGGCGGCACACATTCTCCGCTCGCCTCCAATCCCTGAAGCGCCTAGCCGGCTGCCACCAACCCCTCGCCCTTTCCTGGCACAACAGTCTTCCACACATTCATGCCCTGGCGACAATATTGCCACCCAATGCCATCAACCGCCAGTCCCTGCCACCCAATGCTGTTCACCTCATTCCGCTAACTGCCAAAGTGCCACCGCTCTGTCTCCTCTCTTTCCACACGTGCGGGAGACTTGTGAGTCGACTCAAAGGTCACCTTCTCTCCATGCATCTGCGCCTTCCCTTCACGCATCTCATCAGCCCCCTCTCCCCCGGTCCCCTTTCCGCATACTCTCTCCACCCACCCTGCTTCGCCCTGCTCCCCCTTCCCCTTTTTCCCCGTCCCCTCCCTTACCTCACCTCTACCGCTAGCCCCCTATTCCCCTGCTGCTCTTCCCTCAACCCATCCTCCCACCCCCTGCCCTCACACCCTCACCTTCCCCCCGTCTCTTCCACAACCCACCCGCAACCCCCACCGCTCACCTGGAACAGCTCTGATCGGTGCGCCATGTCTGCCAGCATCAACAGAAGCAGCCCTTTCCCCAGTCCCTTCCCCCCTCTCACCCGCCTCCAACCCCACCCCCCACCAGCTCACCTGAAGTGGCTCTGATTGGCGCGCTACTAATGCCAGCACGGGAACAGCAGCAGCCGTCCCCCCCATTCACACCCCAACTCACACACACCCCTTTACCCCTCCCTCCCCCCCCCTCCACTCTCCCTCACTCAACGCGTGCTTTGTGGGACCAGCACAGGAATAGCAGCAGCCGCCCCCCCCATCCAACCTCCTCACACCCCTCCTCCCCTCCCTTTCTCCCCTCCACTCACTCTCCCGCACCCCTCGCCGTAGGTGCGTTGGCCAGTGCCTGCCTGTGCGACTTCTGATGCGCCAGCGACGTCTCCCCTCCATGCGCGGACCTTGCGCTTCATTCCCAGGCGACAGCTGCCAGCCCAGGCGACACTGTCGCGGCATTCCCCCTAATACCGCCTGCTACCATTCCCCCCTCCTGTCGCGCTTCCTACCCCCCCTCCCCCCCTCCCCAACTTGAGGTGCGGCATTGACACGCGGCGGATACCAGCCCAGGAGCCACGGCAGCAGCGCTTCCTCTATCATCCCCCACACGCTCACCCCGCATTTCCCAATCCCCCCTTCTCCACCTTTACCCCCCTTCCTTATTCCGCCGCCCGCACCTTGCGTGGCGTTAACACGCGGCGGCTCCTAGCCCAGGGGCCACGGGTGCAGCGCTTCCTCAACTATCCTCTCCCCGCATTCCCTCCCCCCCGCTCCTTCTCCCCCGCACTTTACGTGGCGCTGACAGGCGGCAGCTGCTAGCCTGGGGGACACGGCAGCAGCATTCCCCCTAGTAAATACCCGCTCCCCACACCTGCTCCTCCGCACCTTGCGTGGCGTTCACAGGCGGCGGCTCCCAGCCCCCAGCAGCGGGGGGCACTGCACCGTCATTTTTCCCCTACTACCCTCCACACCCGCTCTCCGTATCCCCCACCTTCTCCCCACACCCGCTCTCCGCCCCCCCCTTCCTCTTCTCCCCACACCCGCTCCCCGTATCTCCCCCCCTCTTCCCACACCCGCTACTCCGCACCTTGCGTGGCGTTGACAGGCTGCGACTCCGAGCCCGCCCGGCAGGGAGGGCACTGCAGCAGCAGCAGCAGTAGGAGAGGCAGCGGTAGTACTAGCAGCGGCGCGCGAGGGGCTGCGGTGGCGACGACGCGGACCCGGCGACTCCGCTGCGCCGCGGCGCGCTCCATTCCTTCCGCGTGGGCTCGGGAAGCGACGTGGTTCGGGGATTGTCGGAAACAGTGTTTCTCACGACCGTCGAGGCAGTGAGAGGTTCTATATCGAGGGAGAGGGAGCTGTTTTACTATCGAGGGAGAGTTCTATTATCGACGGAGAAGTTCTATTACCGAGCGGGCCGCCGGTTCCGCCGTCACGAGAAAGGGAGATTGGTGTATGGCCGAGGAGAAGTACGCGTAGGACAGTTTAATATTTATTCACCTCGTTGTAACGAATGTACGCGATATAGGGTGGATGCAGGTCGCGGAAACGCAATGACACGCGAAAGACTCACGAGCGAGCCTGCACCTGGCGCCACGTCAGCAGCTCAGGCACTGCGGGCCGTGTCCCGAAAGTACGTTTCTTCGCAAAATACCCTGCCCGACCATTCTAAATCAAGACCGCTGTAAATTGTGCTAAGCCCCATTGAATTGAGCCGCATTCGGAAGTACTCTCGGCACACGCGCTGATGCACACATGTCATTCACGCCGCTTGTAGTGAAGCATGCTTTGATGCCAGCACGGTGAGAACACCACTACAGCAAGTGACGCGCGTCGACTGGGGGCTGGGAGAGGGGGGCACTGCACCGTAAATCCGCTGGCAGCGGGGGGCACTGCACCGTAAATTCGGTGGCACTTCGTATCAGCTCATATGACAGCGGGAGTGGACAGAGAAAACTCTCTGAGGCTCTTGGGGCAGGTCAGGTAGTGTTCGTTTACAAAACAAATACAGCACTGTTCCCGTCTTCAGGTACGGCAAATCGGGAGGAGTCAAGCGCGGTTATGAGTAACACTCAGCCCCTCACCCAATCAGCCTCGCAGATAACTTCGCCCACGCGCTAGTTCTGTGCGCCACAATTTGGCGAGGGTGTGGTTACTTTGCAAGCACGATTGTTGTTTTTATGATAATAGTGATCTGCGTCAGTTTGCGAAGAAACCTTGGTACAGCTTGACAGGAACCGTACTATTTACACACCTCCACATACTGTCATATGAGCTGATACGAAGTCCGCCGAATTTACGAAAAATCCAGAAATGAATGCTACTTGATACGGCGCAATTTGGTACACTACGGTGAGACCGGCTCTCGATGGTACTGTACGAGGTTGAAGCGGGAACGTGGGGAGGCTCGGTGGAAGCCGAGGTTCGTGGTTCTCGTTGAAGGGTAGGTTCGGTGGCAGGCTACGTGGCTTTTCCCTCCACCGAGTGCTGTCAGAACCAGGGCGGTGTGCGGTGCGGCCGAACAATGCTGTGCTGTCGCACACCCCACCGTAAGTTGGGTTTGCCATCTCGCAAATGCTGCCATCAACTTTCCGTTGAGTGGTCAATTGGTTGGCGAGCACCTGTTGAAGTCGTTTTTTTCTGCAAGATGCTCGCAGGTTGTCGCTGCAAGTTGTTTGTTACCAGATGATTGTTCGTGATCGTCACAACGGTTGGGCCTCAGTGAGCTGAAAATCAAATCTCCGTTCGGCTCTGTCTGGGTTCTAAACCACTCCTTTGAGTCGCATATGTACCTCTCCCAACCATTGTATATGCCGTGAAACTACTCAGGTTGTTCCCTTTGTTTTCCAGAGGCGCAGGACAGGCTATGAACTCATTCATTCTTCTTGTCTTCTCAGAGATTTCATTTGAAGTATGAATTTTGGAACTAGCAGAGGTTGCAGCTACGCTGCTATGGGGAACGCGGGTGGATATTTTGCACGGATTTCCATCTGGGAATCTGGGATGCAGGATGAGCGCGAAGAGCGTTTGCAGACTACACCTACGCACCGCGCACATGAAACCGGCCTGGTTTTCCTGCTGCGCAAGAAAACGAACATCAAAGAAACCGTTTCAGGAAACCAAACTTCGAAATTCCTGTATGGACCTTCGTTCTCATCCAAGTCTCAACACATCAGTTCTCAGGCTTCACATCGTCTGCAACGACCGCTCGTGAGAAGTGCAAGCGCCCGGGACAAGCGTCCGCGACATACGCCCGTGAAAACGTCCCGTGAGCTCGTGAGTAAAAGATTATCGTCGCCTCTCTTCAGCGTGCCATCGCCTTGCGACGCGCTGGCGCCATGCCCCGTGCGCGCTCTGCGGGCCCAGCGCGCTGGCGGCTTGCGCCCCGGAGCCTTGTTGCCGCAGCGCGCTGCGAGAAGGGGACACTGGCGACATGCCTGACAAAATCCCCCAGCGCGCAATCCCCAGCGCGCATCCCCCAGCGCGCAATCCCCAGCGCGCAATCCCCAGCGCGCAATCCCCAGTGCGTAATCCCCAGCGCGCAATCCCCCAGCGCGCAATCCCCAGCACGCATCCCCCAGCGCGCAATCCACAGCGCGCAATCCCCCAGCGCGCAATCCCCCGGCGCGCAATCCCCAGCGCGCAATCCCCAGCGCGCAATCCCCAGCGCGCAATCCCCAGCGCGCAATCCCCAGCGCACAATTTCCCAGCGCGCTATAGCCTAGGCCCTGATGCCTTCCCCGCCGGTGCGAACGGCGGCCAAGGCACCAAAGTCCTTGGACGCTGCCAGCTAATCCCTCCCTCTGGTCGTCTCTCCTCTCTCCTCTCCTCCTATCACTCTAAAAAATCGAATTTTATTCATCGCTCTTATGCGATCTATCCCGTTTTCCTCAAACGGCCCATTATCCTCAAACGGCCCATTATCCTCAAATGGCCCGTTATCCTCAAACGGCCCGTTATCCTCAAACGGCCCGTTATCCTCAAACGGCCCGTTATCCTCAAACGGCCCGTTATCCTCAAACGGCCCGTTATCCTCAAACGGCCCGTTATCCTCAAACGGCCCGTTATCCTCAAACGGCCCGTTATCTCTCGCTGCGTCCCCTCAACCTTTGGGCGAACAGCGCCGTAAACAGGATGTCATTTCGTGTTCACCTCGCCCTTCTCCGAGGAAGGTGGCTGAGTGCGAGTGTGAGCTGGAGAGTGTGAAGAAGGAAGGAGTGTGAGAGCGAGAGAGAGAGAGAGAGAGAGAGAGAGAGAGAGAGAGAGAGAGTTATAAAGAGTGAGAGAGTGTGTTTTGTGTGAGAGTGTATGTGAGAGCGTGTGTGCGAGCGTGTGTGGGAGCGTACGTGGGAGCGTACGAGGGAGCGCGCGAGCGTGTGTGCGAGCGTGTGTGCGAGCGTGTGTGCGAGCGTGTGTGCGAGCGTACGTGGGAGCGTATGTGAGAGCGTCTGTGCGAGCGTCTGTGCGAGCGTCTGTGCGAGCGTATGTGCGAGCGTATCTGTGAGCGCGTGTGTGCGAGCGTACGTGGGAGCGTATGTGAGAGCGTGTGTGCGAGCGTGTGTGCGAGCGTGTGTGCGAGCGTATGTGCGAGCGTATCTGTGAGCGCGTGTGTGCGAGCGTACGTGGGAGCGTATGTGTGAGTGTATGTGAGAGCGTGTGTGCGAGCGTGTGTGGGAGCGTACGTGGGAGCGTACGAGGGAGCGCGCGAGCGTGTGTGCGAGCGTGTGTGCGAGCGTGTGTGCGAGCGTGTGTGCGAGCGTGTGTGCGAGCGCGTGTGCGAGCGTGTGTGCGAGCGTGTGTGCGAGCGTCTGTGCGAGCGTCTGTGCGAGCGTATGTGCGAGCGTATCTGTGAGAGCGTGTGTGCTAGCGTACGTGGGAGCGTATGTGGGAGCGTATCTGTGAGCGTATCTGTGAGCGCGTACGTGGGAGCGCATCTGTGAGCGTATCTGTGAGCGTATCTGTGAGCGTATCTGTGAGCGTATCTGTGAGCGCGTACGTGGGAGCGCATCTGTGAGCGCATGTGTGAGCGTATCTGTGAGGGTTACATCAGCATCTCCGCAGGAGTGGTGATCTCTTCTTTCCTTCTCCGTGGTCCAGACTTTCTTCTAACCCAGCAGGGAGTAGCATGGCTCGATTGCTCAACTTCGTCCTCCTGCTGGGATTCAGCACCTTGCTCCTCCTCTCACGTAAGCTCATACCACTCCCTCCTCCTCCTTCTCCTCCTCCTCCTCCTCCTCCTCCTCCTCCTCCTCCTCCTCCTCCTCCTCCTCCTCCTCCTCCTCCTCCTCCTCCTCTTCACCCAGCACGGGTGCCTGCCTAACCGTCGCATTCTCTCTCGCTTCCCCGCTCCCCGCTTCCACTTCTGCTGCCTTTCTAACTTATCATCCTTCCCTTGGATCCCCTCGCTTCCCTCCCTCCTCTCTATTTCCTCCACTCCCTCCATTCCCTCCCCTCCGTTTCCGCCCCGTTCCGCCCCTTCTCGCCCGTCCCGCCCGATCATATGCCCGCCTCTCCAATCCCTGGATCTGCAGCTTCGTGGCTGCTGCAAGCAGAGGTGAGTCGCCCCAATTTAATCGCTTTGATCAATAGATTTTATGGAAGGCCATTGAGAGGCCTGAAGCCGTCACAGACGAGCCGTTCGTCGAGTCAATTCATACGTCATGTCGGATTGCCTTTGCTCACAAGTTTCGCTTCTGCTAGGCCATTGAGAAGCCGGAGGCTGGTGCCAAGCCTAACTGTTCGCTATGTGGAGGGAAACTTTTAAGAGCTTACCATTCATTCATCTCCAGGCCTCCACGTGCACCGTCTTTGGTGGGTAGGGAGGGAGGATACCACTTGTGAGGCCCGTCAAGGAATGCCACCCTATCCTTGGTTCTGATCCGTGTTTTCCGCATCTCTCTTCTCATCTCTCTTCCCATCTCTCTTCCCATCTATCTTCCCATCTCTCTTCCATCTCTCGTCCATCTCTCTTCCATCTCTCTTCCATCTCTCTTCCATCTCTCTTCCCATCTCTCGTCCATCTCTCTTCCATCTCTCTTCCATCTCTCTTCCATCTCTCTTCCATCTCTCTTCCCATCTCTCGTCCATCTCTCTTCCATCTCTCTTCCATCTCCCTTCCCATCTCTCGTCCATCTCTCTTCCATTTCTCTTCCATCTCTCTTCCATCTCTCTTCCATCTCCCTTCCCATCTCTCGTCCATCTCTCTTCCATCTCTCTTCCATCTCTCTTCCATCTCTCTTCCATCTCTCTTCCATCTCCCTTCCCATCTCTCTTCCATCTCTCTTCCATCTCTCTTTCATCTCTCTTCCATCTCTCTTCCATCTCTCTTCCCATCTCTCGTCCGCCAACCCACCAGGCCGCCACACAGATCATTCCATGGGTTCTGAACTGGACGAAGCGCGTGCACCTCCCAACTTCTGAGACACTTCAAAAGCCATCTCCCTTTCATCTCCCTTCCATCTCCCTTCAATCTCCCTTGCGTTGTCAACTCACCAGGCCGCCACACAGATCATTCCATGGGATCTGAACTGGACGAAGCACGTGCACCTCCCACAGATTTTTATCGGTGACGATCTAGGTGCGTCGTCACACTGCGCTTGTTCTCTCTGTGACCTTTGAGTCGACTCAAAAGTTGCTTTCGTGGATTTATATTGGCAACGATTTCGGTGCGTCCTCACACGCTTGTTCTCTCTCCTGTCTGCCACACAGAAAAGTCTGCCTCACTGCTCTAGGGCTACAGTCAAGGGCTTGGGGATTCCTGCAGCACACAAGCACTATGCTTTTTATGCTTTTCTCACAAGCCACTTTTCGTCACACGGATCTTGTTTGTCAGGGATCTGGCTTCTGGGCTTGTTTTGAGTCGACTCAAAACACACCTTTCTTCACATGGATCTGTGCTGTCCGGGTGTGCTCACCTTTGTCTTGTATCACTCCGCTGTGCCCAGGTGGCTTTTGCGTCGACTCAGAATTCACCTTGCTCCTGGGCTCTCCAAGTGTGTTTATCTTTCCCTTGTATCACACCGCTTCGCCTGGACATCTTCTCTCAACGTCACACCACCGCGCTACATCACTCCACCACCACCATAACATGTGTCCCTCCGCAACGTATCCTGCATTGTTCAAATGGGTGGACTTGGCGTGGCATGCTGTGTAGATTATAAACGATGAGAAAGTATTCTTCTATGCTCACCACTGCCCATACCTGATGCAACCTGTTCATTGTTTATATCCACGAGTCTCGCAGTGTTCAAATGGGTGGACTTGGCGTGGCATGATCTGTGGATCATGGACGATGAGAAAGCATTCAAAGCCTGTGACTTTAAACAGGCAAAGCGCCTTCGACCCCTTGTTGTTGGCGGGCAGTACAAGTAAGTCCGGGCAGTACAAGTAAGTCCGGGCAGCACAAGTAAGTCCGGGCAATACAAGTCACGTAAGTTTGAGCAATATCAGAAGGTCGTTCATTACAAGTCAATCCAGGCATTTTTATTGAATTTCGTACTACAGGTTACAAGTGCCGGCTGCAAATGTCTTGATCCACGCCCACACCCTCCTTGCCCACCGGTACTTGAATGCCTGTCGATTGACCCTACGAATTCTGAGTCCGGTTAGTGAGCTGTTACAATCTCTGTGTGCTACTCGGCCTTAGAAATTCTGTTGGAGTCCTGTCAACAACACAGCAGTGCATGTAACATGTAACATGCCATGCCTTATTAGTCAGTGGTGTGGTGTCCAGGTAACATGATGCTCCCACATTTTTATTATCTTTTTTTCAACGGGTGTAGTCTTCTGTCACGTCCCCTGGCGAATTGTGTTACCCAGCTACCATATGCGAGCATACAAGCGAAGCCTGCTAAGACAAAACCACCCCCCTGCTTCCAACACACCCCCCCACTCCCCACCCCCCTCCTTCCTTTTCCCCCATTCCCCTCCCCACTTCCCCCTCCCCCCACCCTATTGGAGGTTGCTTCCAGATATACGGTCACTAATATCGGTGGCTTCTATTTCGCCTCAAGTGGCCTTATGCAGTGTAATTATTACAAAGTGAAGCTTTCGTTTAAATTGTTTGCCCCTAAATAAGTGGACGGTTGTGTACTTTTTGTTAGTATACAGACGGTGTTGGAAACAATTGATTTAAGAGCCTCTGTCGTGTCGAAACAACATGACAGAAGCGAAGCAGAACATATCGAAGCATCAGCGAGTCAACCCTCGGAGGTTGAACAACTGCTGGAGGTTACGCGAAAGTCAAAGGTCAGCGACCTTCGACCTGACAAGTACAGCGCGACAGCAAGGACAGACAACTGACTCGCTATTGAGTAGTTGCCTGAGTCGTCACTGTATCGAACCGCAACAGCAATGGTAAAACGGTTATTAGTTATAACCTTTCATATTCCCTTGTATTCTTATAAAAGCTTGTATCTGTTTGTTATTAATCAATCTACTTTGCCCTCACATACTAGCGCAAGGTGGTTCACAAGTCTCTTATTTAACGCTTCCGCTATTACATTGTCCTACCCTGAACTTAGTCCTGCAAAGATCCTAAGGGCTTTCTCAGCCCAACATGGTAAGAGAGCAGTCAGGACAAATTCAACTACAACCAAGACACCCACAACATCACAAGACATGGCAACGCAGAAGGAGAGAAGCTCCTCTAACGACTCTCCCAGTACTACTCCTACTCCACCTCCTGCCTCTGGCCTACAGACAGAGGAGGGTACGGCAACAAGACCAAGAGCAACGTCTTCAGAAACTCCTGCAAATCAAGCCGCGGCCTTCGACCCAGACATGATGGAGAAGTTCTTCTCCTTCATGTCCTTCTACGAACAACACCAGGAAGGGGCACCTGCACAGTCAAACAACAGCAACAACAACAACGCAACACCGATGAGCCTCGACAGTTCATCTTACGCACGAGGAAATCAGCAACAACCTACCTTTGCTCCGTACGAGCCCCAGCGTGGCTCCGTCAGCTTTATGCCACACTCGCAGCCTGCATCTGGACAAGAGAAGACACTGGACGCACTTCAAGTTCAGTCGCAGTTCGCGCACGTTTTAAAACTGCAAACGACAAGGCCTTTCGACGGAAAGGACTTCTTTACCTGGTCATTCGAGTTCGAGCTAATGATGGAAGGCGCGCAGATCCTTGGCTTCTTCGACGGGTCCCTGCCATATCCAACATACGGCACACAGTACGACAAGCAGCAGTACACGTATCAGTCAATGATGGCGTACACAATATTACTGAGAAACATCACTCCGAATCAGCAGCAGAATATACGGTCTTACGGGGGATACGGCAACTCTGCAGAGCTCGCGTACAACCACCTAAAGAACCTATATCAAGCAACAGACAGTGTAAATCAAAGTCGGTTAATGGCGCAACTAACGACAGTCGAAATGAAACCAGGCGAAAAGGGGATGGCGTATATCAGCCGTTGTCGCGAATTGCGCGACAAACTCCTTCGATGCGGAGGGTCGATTTCAGAAGACGCCTTCGTCACAGTCATCATCGGCGGCCTCGGTCCTCAGTGGCGCTCCACCCGCGCCATACTCCGAGCCCACGGAAAAATATCAGAAGCAGCACTCTGCGCCGAGATCCACGCTGAGCAGCAAGATATGGACCTGGAAGAAGAACGACACAACAAGAAGGCATCAGTGCCCGAATTCGCATTCCACACTCAACGGCGCTACAACAACAACAACTATCGGCATCAACCGAAACCAGTACCTCCGTTCTGTCACCTTTGCAAGACGTCAGGCCACCCCCGTACACACTGCCCAAACCGGCCGCTTCGCCCTTCAAGCAGTCAAGTCGCCTCAACGCAAGCGAATTCGACCTCTCAAGTACAAGCCTCAACAACATCGATGGGATAACCTGCGCAAGGAACAAGAAACATCGTCAGTTGCATGACACGGTTGACCGACTCCTGCATCACAGAGTCACCACCACATTACTCACCGGAAGAGCAACTCGACAACAGCACGCCTCGCCGCGAGTCACTTCAACCAAATCCGACGTATGCAGCCATCACTCAAAGCGAGCCGTCCGGGAAAGATACGTGGTTCTTAGACAGCTGCTGCGGACAGCATATGTGCTCTTCAGGACGCTTTGTTCAACGCGAACACAAACTTCAACGCGAGGTCGTCATCACCGTCGCCAACAATCAGAACCTGCGCACACGACGACAAGGCGTAGTGCAACTTCAGTCACGAGAAACAAACGTCATACTGCAGATGTCGAAGGTTTTAATAGCAGAAGGACTCGGTTACAACCTACTGAGCGTCAGCCAACTGATGGCGAAGGGCATACACCTCGAAGCAAATAGTACCACTCAGGAGTTCAAGTTATTTAACGGGAAAGGCGTGTGAAAATGAAACGAGGAATGATTGAACTGAGCAGCATGAGAAGTACAAGTACCAAACCCTAAAGTGTTGTACCCCATATAAGCTACCCCACTACAGCCTACACAGACTATAGTGTATGAGTTTGACACACCCCCATAGGCAAAGTGGGGGAGAGCAAGGGGTCACAAGACCAGTCAAGCAAAGCAAGGCAAAGCAAGCTCAGGGTGGATCACAACGTCACCACACATTCTGAGCACAAGTTCAAGGCCACAAGGCCAGTTCACATGCAAGATTACATATATATAAGGCTAAACAAGCAAGAGCAGGTATATATATATGTAACAGTACAAGCAAGGTCAAGAAGTGAGCAAGTGAGGCAAGGTAGGCACAAGGCCCAGCTGAGTACAGAAGCGCTGATGATCACAAGGCGCGAGTGCCTTGGTGAAGATATCAGCAGTGTTGGCCTGAGAGGCCACGTACGCAAGTCGCAGCTGACCACACTGCTGTAGCTCACGAGCTAAGAAGTAGCGAAGAGCAATGTGCTTCGTTCTGTGCTCCAGTCTCTGCTCCCGACACAAGGCCAGCATGGCCTTGTTGTCTACGTACAGCATTGGAGGAGAACGAGGCAGCTCTCCGAGGTCAGTCAGCAGGTAGGTGAGCCAGCGAAGCTCCTGTGCAGCCATGGCCCCTGCGTAGATCTCAGCCTCACAACTGGAGCCGAGAACAGAAGACGAGCGGGTAGCCCGCCACGAAACAGAGCCGGAACCAAGGCTGAAGGTGTAACCCTGTGACGACCGCTGCGTAGCCTGGTCGTCAGCCCAAGAAGCGTCTGCGTGCCCAGTGAGGACCACTGGACTCTGCCCTCCAAGCACAAGCCCCATGCCCGACGTACTGCACAAGTAGCGCAACACCCTCTTCGCTGCAGCCATGTGCTCCGGTCTGTGTCTCCCAGGAGCAACATAGCGTGCGAGAATGCTAAGAGGGTATGCGAGGTCAGGTCGTGTGCAGGTCATCAGGTACATGAGGCAGGCAACAAGCTCTGGGTACGGGCCACTCGACTCTACGGACTCATCCGAAGGCAGAGCTGAGAGCGAGTGGCGAGTAGGCAGAGGAGTGGCCTGAGGCGAGGAGTACGTGAAGCCGAAGCGCTGAAGGACCTGCTGCACCATGTGTGACTGAGTCAGGGTAATGGTGCGCTGTGCTCTGTCCCGGGTGATCCACAAGCCAAGGTAGCTGCGCAGTTCACCCAGGTCTGTGCACGTGTGTCTCTTCTGCAGCTCGGACTTCACGTGGGCGAGTCCAGCAGTGTCAGCTGTGGCAAAGACCAAGTCGTCGACGTACACGAGGATGTAGAACGGCGGCAAAGAAGTGTCGGTGCGCAGAAACAGCGACGGGTCGGCAGTAGAGGGAGCAAACCCAAGAGCCGCAAGTGTAGTCCTCAGTGTGTCGTGCCACTCACGCGGTGCCTTGCGGAGACCGTAGACTGGCCGCCGGAGGCTCCACTGGGTGCCAGGAGGAAAAGTCCCAGTGAAGCCAAGTGGGCGGCGCAGCCAGATCTCCTCGTGCAGGCTGCCCTGCAAGAAAGCAGTGCTGAAGTCAAGAGAGTGCAGCTCGTAGTCACGGTGAGCAGCTATGTGCAGCAGTACCCGAAGAGTGGTCATCTTCGGGGTTGGAGAGAAGGTCTGAAAGTAGTCAACTCCCTGCCGCTGACTGAAGCCACGAGCCACGTAACGCGCCTTGAAGACAGGCGGAGAACCCGGCGGCCGCTTCACCCTGAAAATCCACATGCCACTGACGATGTTCGCCCCAGGCGGGGGAACCTCGTCAACGTAGGTGCCTGTGGACTTCCAGGAAGCCATTTCTGTGTCCATAGCTGCCTGCCACTGAGAGGAGTAGGGACCCTCTATCGCCTCCGCGTAAGAGCGCGGAGTCGGGATGTCAAGTGCATCCAGGTCTCCCTCAGGGGTAAGCAGTACGGACACGAGATGAGGTGAAGCAGCAGCCAAACACTGGAACTCCTCCTACCTGTCCTCAAGGACGTCCGTGCCAAGGGCACACTCACCCCCGACGGACGGAGGACATACAGACTCAGACTCAGCAACAACACTAGCAGCGTAGTCTAGACGACAGCGAGCAGCAAAGTCGACGAGCTCAGCAACTAGGGCAGACGCAGCAGTGGACTCAAAGGAAGGGTCAGTGACAACAGTAGCAAGGAGACGCGTGACAGTCGGACTGGTAGCACGAAGAGAGTCCGACTCCGGGTCGGCAAGAGCAGGAAGAGAGGACTCAGGAGGAGAAGGCAAAGGGGCACGCAGAGGAGCAGTGGACGGACGCAGAGACATCCGGTGGGTGCCAGGGACAGGAGGAGGACGCTGACGCGAACCACGACCACTAGCGCGAGCAGCACGGACAGGCGACACAGGGCGAGACGCAGGCGCACGACGCTCAGCAAGACCTCCAGTAGGACCAGTGTAGGGAGAAGGAGCAGGCAGTGGGGAGGCCGGCTGTAACTGTAACTGCGACGGGACAGGCTGTGGACACTCTAAGGGAGGAGGAGGACCAGTAGAAGGCGGGAGACCAAGAACCTGCTCAAGGAGCGGAACGAAGTACGGCCGAGGCCGCGCAGCGACTCCAGACCAAGCAGGGACAGCACCAGTACCCCCAGTGGCAGCACCAGAGCCAACAGCACCGCCAGCTCCAGCACCCCCAGCAGCTCCACTAGCTCCAGGACCTCC